CAACCAGCTCCACCCGCGCCGCCCGTAAAATCGACACGACCGACCCCGGGACAGGGTGGGCGATGCTCGACTCTGGCACGCTCGTAGTGCATGTTATGACGAGCAAAGCGAGGGAAGAGTGGGGAAGGGGGATTGAGGATGTTTGGGAGGGTGTGGGGGCGTTGGAGGCGAGGGAGAGGGGGGAGGACGGGTGGGTTAGTTCGGCGAGGAGGGAGGAGGAGAGGGTGAGGGAGGAGGAGTTGAGGGTGAATATGGAGGAGGCGAGGAAGGAGATGTTGCTGGAGGAGGAGGCGCAGGCGGAGCTGGAGAAGCCGCTGCAGCGGTAGACTGTACGCACACTCGCATCTCGCAACTCGCATCACTCAGGAATGGGTGCAAACGAAGATTATGTGCATGCGAGGGCGAAAAGCGACAGTATGCTACAACGACAGAGAACCGAAAGAGGGAGAGTGGACGAATCCGGAGGGGGAACAGCTTTTCGACGAGAGACTGAGGGGAGGACGAACGAGGGCGAGGCGGGTAACTGATGCGTGATGCGAGGCTGGAGCTGATAACCCAAGAATGAGAGAGAGTGAAGGACTGGGTAAAAGGCGGATCAGACGGCCGTCGAAGGCGGGACGAGGAGGACGTTGCGCATGATCTGCGGACAACAAGCAAGGTGTGTGAGTTCAACTACTTCGCCTACCCCATTTCGAACGAATGCTGCTGCACTCAGAACAAGGGCGGCCGCGACGATGCAAACTCACCACCTCGACCCCCATCCCCTTCGGATCAAACTCCCTCCATCCACCATCCTTCCTCTCGACCCAAACTGCCGGAGGAACACTAACGAGCGTCGTAACGGTGGGCCAGTCCTTGCGGCGTCGTTTGCGAGGGACCGCAGGCGAATCTTCCGACGAAGAGGGGGAGGAGCTGCTGAGCGAGGGTGTGGAGGCGGATGAGATTGCGTCGAGGGGCGGAGAGTCATGGAGCGACGAGTCTGATAAAGGCGGCGAAGGCGGTTCGGGACACAGGAGCCTCGGATCCCATGCTCTCGATCCGCCGACCGACAACTCTTGTAACCCGACGAGCCAGGCGTTGACGATATCCGACGTGAGGGTGTCTTCGTCGGCATCGGAATCGGCGGGTGCGAGCGAAGGGGAGGACGGCTTGAAGCAGACGTAGAGAGCTTGGATAGACGACCAAGGGACCATGCGCATCTCGCGCTCGTCCTTCGCTTCGCCACCGCTCGAGTCAACCGACTTCTGTTGTCCCGGAAAGGGAAAGGCAGGAAGGAAAGCGAGAGATGATGTGAGGGCGTGCAGCGTTCCAGACGGAGGCGGCTTGCGAAGGTCGCGTTCTTTCGCATTCGCGGGTGCGGCTGGAGTCGCTGTGCCTGAGCCCGTTGCGCTGGTCTGCACTGAGGTGGGCTGTGAGCCACGGCGTCCGGAGGAGAGGTAGCGCGAGAGGGAGGAGGTGAGGGTGGGAGAGTTGCGAGACGGCGAGGGGGAGACGGACGAGTCGGGGTATGGCGTTGCGGTTGCTTCGTCGCTGAGGCGGGTGTAGGAAGAGTGACGGCGGCGGTTGAGCGGTCGGGACAGCTGCCTCGGAGGCGAGGAGGGCGAAGTTGGCGAGTCGGAAACGAGGCGAGCGAGCGACTCGGAGGCGATGGAGCGACGACGAGAGGTCGCCGCACTGTCCGAGAGCACCGTCGCGGACCTTGAGCGAGTCGTGACTGCCTGGAGCGAGGCCGAGGACGCGGAAGACGAGTGGGCGAGTGCAAGTTCTCCGGCAGTTGGCGTCGACGGAGAACTCGTTGCGGACTCGGTGTGCAAGCCGAGGCTGCGCCAAACTCGTCGGTCAGTACTGAAAAGAAACAGCTGGAGAAGAGCGACTCACGAGGGACCCGTCTTGCCCACGCTGAGGACCCGCCTCGACGCCGCCGTCCTCGCAACGCTGGACTGCCTCATGCTCTCTGTGTCCTCGATACGCGATGCCCGCCTCCCTCGACGTCCGCTGAAGTCGAGTTCGAGTCCGCCAGACGCAAACGAGTCGGTAAAAACCTCGTCGGCGTCGGACAGGGAAGGCTCGTCGTTGGCGTCGAAAGGGAGGGACGAGGAGGACCATCCCGACTCGAGCGAGTGAGCCGCTTCAACTTGACCGAAGGATGCGTTGCGCTGAACGTCACTTGCAGCAGACGAGGAAGGCGCGCGGACCGGAGAGTTTCCTGAAAATAGCGACTCGACGACCGCCTCGGACGCCTCGTCTAGCGAAGGAGGCGAGAGACCGAGTTGTTCGACGCATGAGTCGAGGTCGTACACTGGTGGAGATACGCAGACCCGCCAGTCCTCGACAAAGCTGTCCTTGCGACGCAGTGACTGCCCCGCCGCCGCCGACGAGTGAAGGACGACCACCTCGTCCGAGAACGCTCGCCGTGGTCGCGGCAGCGAGTAGGCCGCTCCTCGACCGTGCAGCTCGGTCGCTTCCGTCAACGTCGTGCTCCTCGCAGCGCCGGACCAGTCCTTGACCGCGAGCGGAGAGAGCGACGGCCGTGTCGGGGTCGGATCCGCCGAGGGGGCCGCATGCGCCATCCACGGCGCGCTGTAAGGGTTCTCGGCGCTGCAGGACGTCGATTCTAGTCGTTTTCCAGCTGTGGACCAGGACGAGCGCCTCCCGACGGCGAGTCCGAGGAGCTTGAGGGTGGTCGCCGGGCGAGAGGACTCTGGCTGACGGCGAGCGAGGCACCGCTTGCGAGCGAGTTGGAACTTGTCACGCGAGCGAGTGCGAGGTGCGACTCACGGAAGAAGTAACAAAGAGAGAAGAAGGAACGCAAAGATAGCGCGATGTTCGGCAAATGGGGCGCTTTGTTCTTCCTCGAGGAAGGACAAGTCACCCGCCAAACGGCCGACAGCGACAGACGCTCTCCAGACGTCCGTTCGCTGCGTAGGGACGATGCTATGCAGACAGGGTACGGCGAGGACACGGTATGCGAGGGAAAGAACGAGGGAAGACAACAGGGAAAAGAATCCGAAAAAAGCGACACTGCGACGAGGAGGACATCCCCGTCCACGCGCCCGCCCATCTGACACGCACGTCCGCCACCAAGAGACGACCATCGACAGCCTAGGCCTGGTGGGGAACGAATCTCGATGAGCTGTTGCCCGTATCGAGCGAAGGGATGAGGCGGACGCACCATGTACTTGAGCTTCTTGCGGTCCTCGTCGTCGCGCTCGAGGTACTCCTTCTCGATGAGCCGCTCGATCGACTTCTTGATCATCTGCGGCGTCGGCTGGAACCGGTGCGAGAGCTGGCGGATCACCTCGTTGACGAGGTCCATGTGCTGCAGCTGCTTGCGGTCCTTCATCACCCGCACGATGCAGGCCTGCGCGAGTGAGCGAGTCAGTACGGCGAGCTTCAGAAGTGAGCGATACCGTGAACGCACGTCGCATTGAGTGTTCCTCGCCTCATCGACCTTGCTCTCCGTCTCCTTCCTCTCCGCATCCGTCTCAACCTTCGCCGCGACCGTCTGGATCCGGATCTTCGCAAGGGGCGCCGTGAAAGCCGAGTTGAACGAGAACGAGTCGGTGTCGTTGACGTCCCGGCCTTTCGGGTGCTTCGTCAGGACCTTGTATTTGGCGCAGGCGAGCGTTTGCAAAGTCCGCTTGAGTTCGGGCGCGAGCATGTTTGTCGAGTTGGCGATGTCCTGGCGCGTACAAGAATGAGCGAGATTCGCGAGCGACGAGACGAGACGCGACGTACGACATAGCTCAGCTTCTCGTCATCCCCGAGACCCTCGAACAACGCAAGCACGACCATCGCATAAGTCGAGACGTTCAGCTCATGTGTCCTCGTCTTGAACCTCGTCTTGACCTCGACGCTGCCTTGGTCGGGCATGAACGTGAGCTTGCGACCCGAATGCTTCTGGTTGTAGAACGTCTCGAACGACTTGATGCCGTCTTGCAGGACCTTCGGGAGCGTGCAGGTCTTGTCCTTTGCGGAGAACGGCCAGACGTTGGAGCCGCAGATGATGGGCTCGATGTCGAACGGCGCTTTCTGCGGGGCGTTCGAAAGCGAGTGTCAGCTAGATGGCGGGAGAGCGTCAGAGCGGGAACGCACGATGACAGCCCTGTCCTGGAAGCGCTTGTACTCCTCGAGCGTATCCTCCGAGACCTTGACGTCCTTCATCATGCCCTCGGCGGACTTGGTGAACTGGTGACCCGCCTCGACCCTGAACTTGGCGAGCATGCTCCGCTCCGCGTCGTCCGAGACCGACCGCTGGTTGATCAGGCGCTTCGAGAGGTGCTGGTTGTAGTACTTCTCGAAGGCGTCCTTCTCGGTCAAGAAGCGGAACAGCGCGACCGACTTGTTGAGGACCTCGTCGACCTCGGCCTCGGTTTTCTGCGGCATGCGAACAGGTCAGCCGATGCTTCTCGAGACGAGTAAAGGTTGAGCGCACCCCCTTGAGACCCTTGCGCAGGTTGTCGTCGATGAAGAGCGAGATGTACTCGGGCGACTTGCGGTTCTCGTTGACAAAGACGGAGAAGGCATCGTTGATCGACTTCTCGAACGCCTTGTCGCTCGCGAATGCCTTGACGAGCAGCGTATCGAACTTGTCCTTGAGGTCGAGGACGTTCTGCACCCACGCGAGCGCCGCTTTGGTCTTGGCATTGATCGCGCCTCCCGCTTCAGGCTTCTTCTTCGCTCCCTCGCCCTCGTCCGCTGCTTTCCCCTTACCCTTCGCATCCTCGGCACGCGTGTCAGGCTCAGGCGCAAGCGAGACGCCCTCGTTGATTTGTTTCCCGATAGCGACGATCCACGCCGAGACGCCCGCCTGAAGCGTAGGGTGGCCCTTTCCGACGCGTCCGAAGAGGGTGTACAGCAGCTTGAGATCGTCGATGCGCGAGTCTTGGATGAGGGTGGAGAGGCCGAATGCGGGATGCTCGAGGATGGACGAGAGGTGCTGTTCGATGAGAACATTGTCGAGGAGCGACATGAGGAGGGGCTCGGTCGAGGCGTTGAGGTAGGACTGCGCGCGCGTCGACTCTTCCTCGAGTCGTCGGTTGATCTGCAAGACTCGAAACGTCAGCTCCATCGGCAGGAGAAGCGAGGTCTCGTGCGTACCCGCTGTAGGAAGCTTGGGCAATCGCACTCGATGAGCAACCGCGCGCTCTCACGAGCGTAGAACTCCTCCGTCTGTTTCAAGAACGCTTGCTCGAACGCCGTCTTGTAAGGACTCTCCTTCGCTCCGGGCGGTCCTTCGCCCATCACCGTTCGCTGTCGCGCCGCTGCTGCACCCGAGCTGATGACGGGCGAGCCTGAGCCGGTCCCTTGCGAAGCTTGGACGGGCAGAGGGACGGGTCCCTCGTCGATCAGGCGGGAGAGGATGCCGACTGCGCTGCGAATGGCCGAGCGTGAGACGACTTCGCCTTCGCGCTCGATGCGAATGACGTTGAGAAGGGTGTTGAGGAGGTGGTGGGCGACGGTCGACGGGTCGGTCGTAGGTCGAGGAGCAGGAGCAGAAGTCGACGCGCGGGAGTTGGCGGGAGGAGCGGGTTTCGGGTTTGTCGAGAAGAGGACCACGTGGTGGAAGAAGAGGGACAGGCCGAGGTCGTAGACGGCAGGAACACCGCTGCTCGGGTTCGTCCACACCTTGTCCTGCGAGCGAGCGGGAGTCAGCAAGCCAGAAGAGGTCGAAGAGCTCGGTCGACATACCAGGTACTTCAACACATCCCGCAGCTTGCTCATGCACGCGATGTGGTCGTCCCAGGCGTCCCTCAGCCTGTCCAAGAACAGCTGTCCCGCAGCTGCCGCCGCAACATTCTCGCTCGCCGCACCGCCTGTCCCCGCCTGAGTCCCGCTCGTCGATGCGATGGCGGTAGTTGAATGGGGGAAGGTCGGAACGATCTTGTCTCGCGTCTCCTTTTCCAGGTGGGCTGAGATGAGCTCCGCAACGGCGTTGTACAAGAGGTGGCCCTGCACGACGGCGACAAGATCAGCGGACGGGTTAGGGCAGAACAATCGCTTCTCCGCACCTTCTTGTACAGCACGAGGTTGTAGGCATATCGGTAGTGCTCCTCGAACGAGAGCTGCGAGACGTTGTGTTGCTGGATCTGCTGAATCGCCTCCTTGAGCCGGTCAAGCGTCGAGTCGGCCGGTTCGGTTTGCTGTGCGGTACGAAAGCGTCAGTCAAAGTCAATGCGCTGGGAGTTAGGACGCCCCTCGTGGCGAGAAACGGAACGAGCCGTCCTCTTCACCAGTCGGAGCGATGAGCGAACGCACCTTCCGCGGCGCCTTGACGCGTGGCACCCGCACGACTGGCCTGCGCACTACCATCGTGTTCTGCTAGAGCAAGGACGAGGCGGACTGAGCCGAGGTGCGGGACTTGTCGGTGCTTGAAGTCGGGATGAGCGAACAGCGAGGCGGCGGCGGTGGAAGGCGTCGATGGGCTGGCAGGTAACCCCGACTGCGCTGAGTACGAGGCAACGATGGCAGCAGCAGCTCGACAAGCGAAACGGAGCAATGAACGGTCCTTTGCAGGAGCGCAAGTCCAACGTTGGTCCGGACGAGAAGATGGTGGCAAAGATCAGCAATAAGCCCTCCTTTGCAGTTCGAAGGGTACCTTCTGCACTATGGAGTTGCTCTCCGTTCAGCAAGCGAATCAGCGGAAGCTGAAGCGGAGTTGCGACGTCCCAACGTCTCCTCGAGGGCGCCTGCTGGCGAGGCAGAGAACAAGGTATGAGTTACAAAAGGAGGCGGGCGAGATAGAGCGAAAGACGACAAAGAGCCGATCGAACGAATGCAGCCAAACAACCCGAGGAGAGGAGCACGACCCGGGAATCTCTTCGTCGCCTTTAACGCAATGGACGCTCACCGCCTCGCTCCCATGCGAGACTCCGGTCCTCCATGAACGCCTTCGACGCCATCTCTGCCGGCCCATTGATCCCCAGCTTCGCCATGCACGCCTTGCGATGAGCAGGATCGACAACGAACGCCTTCTCGCCCGTGGCCTTCTGACAGACGCGCTCGAACGAGGCGAGGGTGTGCATCTCGACGTCGTAGTCGTAGGCTTCCGCGACGAGCAAGTCGAAGTTGGCGGGAGAGGGGTTGTCGTACCATCCGTGCCACAGCTTGCGCTGCAGCGTGCCGCGTTGCTGAGCTTCGAGGACTCGAGGTCGCCGCAGAGCTTCGAGAGTCCGCAGAGCGCGCGGAACGCCTTCGTTTGTACCTCCGGCGAGAGCGAGGAAGACCGCGAGCGATGCGCCGTCCTCGATGGCTTGAGAAGCTCCCTGAAAGGACATCGGCGAAAGAGCGTGCACGGCGTCGCCGAGGAGAACGATCTTGCCGCCATTGGTGCACCACCGTTCCGCCGGTGGGTCCTCCTCGATGGCCCAGTTGAGGCAGGTGCGGAAGGCGGAGACCGCTTCGATGACGGACGGGTCCCAGCCTTCCTCCTTGAGGCGCTCCGTCACCTCAGCGACGGGTCGTCGGTCGCGCCAACTCAGAGAGGCCTTGTATCGCGAGCGGGAGACGTAGGTCTACGCGAAGTCTCGTCAGTAGGCCTCAGCGTTTAGAGCGGCGGACGGGACGTACGAAGGAGACCTGCTGGTTGTTGTCGAGAGGAGCAATCTTGAGATGCGAGTCAGGGCCGAGGAAGGTGCGCATGCAGCCGTCAAAGAAGTCTGCAGGAGCGCGGAGGTCAGCGGAGGGAAGAGGGAGACTCGTAGCTCGAACGCACACGACGTCGACGGGTTCGCCCGTAGCTTGTCGCTCGCCATTGCACCTCGATGCACGCTGTACATCTTGCCCTCGTCCGTCGTGTCGGTATTGCTCTCGGTCGAGCGCAGCTTGGTCGACGATTCGCCGAGCTCGGGTGCGAGGTAAGCGCGGGCGTAAGAACTGACGCCGTCCGCAACGACGATGCACGCACTGTACGAATCAGCTGTGTCAGCGGAAGGCAAACGAGAAAAGGTGGGACAGGCGCGACCCACATCCGCAAAGAGCGTCTCTCCCTTCGCCGTCACGATAGAAGGCGACTTTGCCGAGTCGTTGAACTCGACGACCTCCGTTCCCGTCCTGAACTCGACTCCAAGCATCCTCGCCTCGATCCCCAGCACGCCAAGGTACTGCGCTCGATGACCCTGCATGAGCGGCGCGCCGTAAATGGCCGGAAAGTCCCGCAAATCTTTGCCCTCGAGATCGTTGCCCCTGTAGTCCTTGAGAAGCCACCATCCGCCTCGCGCGCTCTTCTGCCATAGGTCGGTGAAGAGGCCCCAGCGGGCGAGGAGGCGGACGCAGTTCGAGCCGAGGGTGAGGAGGTCGCCGTGCGGAGACTTGCCGCTGCCGCGTTCGACAACCGTCACGCTATACCCTTGCCGAGCGCATGCGATGGCCTGCAACGCATCGACAGTGTCAGTATTGCGAGACCTCTGGGTTGAGTGCGCGCAACCTGCAACTCACCGCCGCAAGTCCCGCATATCCCGACCCAACAACCAGCACCTTCAACCTCCGGTCATCCTCCCACTCGCCAAACGGCGCCGCACTCGACCTTCGCCGTGCCGGCAAGGCCTTCTCCTCCCACTCCCTCGCAGACGGTGCCGGACTCTCGTCCCGCGCAAGGCCGTTCTGGCGCGTAGGTCGGTCAACCGATCGTCGGTTCTGTGCCGCACGAGGCCAGTCGTACGTGCGCATGAACGAGGAAGGGTCCGAAGGAGCGGAAGCGACAGCGTCGTCTGTTGCGTCCAGAGCGGGGAGGACGAGTCCGTTGGCGGTCGAGACGTCGCCTTCGTATTCGATAGTTGTCTCGGTGTGCACCATAGGCTGCTGGAACGAATTGCGCTTGTTGTTGTTGGTTGAGACTCGCTCGAGGCTGAAGAAGGATGAGGTCGACAGTGGGCGGGAGGACTCGCTCGACTGCGTGAGGGCGAGGCGGCAGCTCGATCGTCAGCAACAGTCGCTCACGTGAAGTTCAGAAGGGAGGAGGACGCACCTTGGACGACTTGCGCGCCGACGAAGTCGACGACGAACCGACAGTTTGCGTGCTCGACCTGCGCCGTATAACGCGATCCCAGAACCCAGCCATGTCGTCAAACCAGGCGTGCGTTAAGTCACAGCAGAGAAGCAAGTCACAGCGGCACAGACAGACGAAGCGGGAAGCCAAGAGCGATGAGGCGTGGGAGCGTCGAAGGTGGACCAGCCGGCCGAGGCGCAGCGGCGATCAGGTTAGAGCCAGCGTGGTCGATGTGCGTGCGTGCAGCTCGGGAGGTCTGGAGAGTTCGGGGCGGGCGGGACCACGCCATGATACCGGCTCGACAGCGCCGGAGGTCGTCTCGTCGCGAGCGGCGGGGTCGAGAGGCTGCAATGAGCGCAAAGCGAGCGGCTTGCACTTCGGTACAACGAGTGCTCGAAGAACCGGATGCTGATGGGAAAGGCGGGTCCGGACGAGGGCGTTCGTTGCCTGAGTAGGAAGGCGACGGTGCGAAGGCGACGAGCTTGTTCGGCGGCGCGAGAGCGAGATGAACGCACTCGACGTCCTGCGTCGAGAACCTGTCCTGTTGGAGAACGTTCTGCAGCAACGGCAGAAAGCGAGGCGGAGTTGCGGGTCGCCGCGGGCGCCCGTGCCGCGTTACAACTCGAGGTCCTCATCCGGGTCCTCGTCGTCCCAGTCGTCCCCTCTATCCGGCGTATACTCGATCCCTCCTCCTCCTCCCGCCGCCGCCGCAGCCGCGGTTCCAGGCAAGACGGGCGCGGCGTACCCTTCTTCGCCGTAGATGGGCTTGTCAGCGCCTGCGAAGGGATTCGAGACGAGCGAGCGGGCGAGACGTTGGGAGGGCGTGAGAGAGAGCGAGAAGGGGAGTGGGGCGGAAGAGTCGGGTGCGGCGGTGGACGAGGAGGAGGGAGGAGGAGCGGGAGTCGTGGCGGTCGAAGGTGAATGGACCGACGGAGTCTGCGCACGGTTCTCCCGTCAGCACGCTTCTCACTGCCGGGATCGAAAGCGCAACGCACACTCGCTGCCCCAACTCCCGCTCTCACGCCCATCCTCCTCCTCTCCAGCACCTCTCCCAGCGCGCACTCCTCAACCAGCACATCCACCGACCCATCGAGCGCCCTGATTTCCCTCGCTCGCGCACCGACAAGGCCCCACCGAACGAGTTTCTTTGCTGCGGTCGCGGCGGAAGAGGCGGAAGCGACGCGGGGGGAAGGCCTCCGTTCCCTCGCGCCGGTGATGGGCGACTCGAGACCGCGCACTTCATACTCCACCACACACCCTCCCATCCCAGCTCCCTCACCGCCCTCCCTCCTTCCCTCCGCCGTGCCGCGCCTCACCCCCTCCCCAAGCACATCAAGCGCGACCCTCTCATCCCGCTCCTCCGCCCCCTGCGGTCTCACAAACGGATCTCCAACCGCCCTATGTGCCAAACTCTCCAAGAATCCTTTCGCGCGTGGGTCGATCTCCTCGTCGGGGAAGGAGAGGCCGTAGTCGCGTGAGAGAAGCTCGATGTGCGATGAGGGACGGAGGGTGAGGTGTGCGACTGAGGGGGAGAAAGAGGGGGAGAGGAGTGCGGCGGGGAGCGAGGGGCGGAGAGGGGAAGTTGAGGACTGGGGGAGGGAGGGGGGGGAGGGGGGAAAGTCGGAATGGTGGACTGCGATGAGGCGCGAACCTGCGTGCGTCGTACTCGGCGTCCTTAGTCATGCATCTCGAGAACCCTCCCACAGTCCCTAGAGCAAGACCACCACCCGCTCCTCATCGAAAGCAAGGGAACCGGGAAAACTCACCTTTGCTCCCGCTCAACCCCTCCATCACCCTCTTCAAAACCCTCACCGTCTCGCCCTCCCCTCCATCTCCTCTATCTTGCGCAAGAAAGTCCCCCAACGCATTCACCGAATCCACCACTACCGCAACCTCCCCCTCTCCCTCGTTCGCATCCTCCTTGATAGCGCCAAGGACGTCGGAAAGAAGAGTCGCTGGAGTAGGATAACTTGTCTTCGGTCCCGAAGCGCGAGACGTCGAAGGTCGAGAGGACAGGAGTGTCGAATCGAAAGACGCGTCGAGGACCCTCACTCGTCGCTCGTCGTACATTCCCTCTGGCGGAAGGAGCCTCGTCGGATCCTGCTCAAAGCACAGTAATACCACCCTCCCATCCTTCGGCGTGGAGGGAGAGGGCGAGGAGGGGTTGATGAGCGCCTGCCGGATGAACTGGCGCAGGACGAGGAGGGCGGGTTGGAGGAGCGAGTCGCTGATGAGGACGAGAGGGGCGTGGGTGCTATTGAGAGGTGGGTGAAGGCGGTTCGAGAGGGCGTGGTCGAGCATCGTGAGGAGCGCGAAAGGGAAGAGGAAGAGAAGCGGCTTTCGACGAGGCAGTCTCTCGTCGCTTGGCTGGCTCGCGCGGACGTGCAAAGGGTACGGGAGACAGCGATGCATTGCGACAGACACGAAGCCATACAGAGAAGCGAGAGCAAGACTGCGAGGGGAGACGAACGAAAGTCAGCTCGAGTGTCCTCCTCGTGCGGTACAAGTACTGCTGCGTCCACCGCCGCGCGCGCGATGCGTTCTCTCAGACGTATTCAAATGCCCCACTCGGAACCTCCCTCCCGCCCGTCCCTCCCAAAGGAGAAGACGAACGAAAGCCACCCAACCTGATCCACCGCGCCGTTCCTCTTTCCCCCCAAGCAACCCGCACCTAATCCGCCCCCGCTCTCGCACCGAAACAAGATCTCGCGACCGTCTCAAGATGCTCGAAGTGGGGGCGTTTCGGTGCGAGCCATACGCTTGGGGGTAGTGAGGTGGGTCGAGCGCAGCGGGGGTTAACGGGGGTTCTAGCGGGAGGAGAGGTGTAAGGGAAGGTCTAGTTCCCCCGGTCGACAGGAAACTGCGAACAGAAAGGTCTTTCGACGTTTCGATCATTGAGGACGCGTGTGCGTGCGTGCGGCGAGGGTGGACGAGCTCGAGCAAGAGGGATGGGAAGACTGACCAGTTCGAGCGGGCGAGCGAGACCTGTCTTTGTGCGAGGAGGCAAAGAGTCAGCGACAATGTCCTGGTCGCGTGAGATTCCTGCTCGTGAGCACACGGGACGACGGCAACGGCAACGCAAAGGCGGCGAGGATGGATCCGGATCAGACAAGGGCTACTGGCAAAAGTATGGTAAAATACGTCGCCCAGGCCCCGCTTGGGAGCCGGGCAGTCCCACTCGCCCACGATGGAGCGAGCAGGAAAGGGGCGACGCTCTTCGTAGGTTCTCGTCGTGGTCGATAGGATGGGGAAGAGAAGTTATAGGTCATCGCGCCCGGATCGTCCCTCGCTCGCGTGGCGTTCGCCCGTGTGTCCAGTGTGCTCGAGTCCAGAGTGCGTGCGAAGGGAGTGCTCACCTCGAGTGCAAGCAAGCGAGCGAGTCGAAGCGGGTGGAAAGAGTTGTCGGTGCAGGTCGGCGGGAAAAGCGAGCGGCGGTGCGGGACTTGTTCGGGCGTGTTGAGCAGGTCTCGTATAGTCTGTCCAGCCCCGTGTGAGTCCCTCAGCGAGTGTGTGAGCGTGAGCGAGTGGTAGAAGGAAGAGAGAGCAGACGAGCTCAGCGCGCGAGTTTTGTTCACAGCTGCAAAGTTTTGTCTGAGCCACGTCAGCGTCACGTGAACCAAGTTTCGCACACCGCGTCGAGCAAGCGCGCCTCGTTCAACATCCGCTCACTCACTCTCACACACGCTCGCTGGTCTCATTGCACTGCTTGCCGAACCCCTGCGACTCGCTCAGACACTCCAATCGAACCCCCGAACCCGCCCGTCTTTCTCCCCCCCTCTCTCGTCCTCCTCATCGCGCACACTCCCTCGCCCCTCTCACACGCGCATCGCACGACCCCTGCGCCCCACCCACACCCTCACATCCTCAGTGACACCATGCCATCCGTGGCCGCCCTCAACAAAGAGAACCGAGCGCCTGCGGGCGGGTCGTTTGCTCTCACCGGTTCGTTCCCCTCCCTCGTCCTCATCGTACAGGAAAATTCGCTGACGAGGCGTCTCTTGTGCGATGGGAACGACAGGCAAGTCCACAACCGCCGCTTCGAAACGCACCGCAGCCTCCAAACGCCCCGCCGCTTCCTCACGAAAGGGCAAAGCCTCCACCACCGACTCGCAGGAAGAAGACGACGACGACGAGTTGATGATGGCTGGCACCGGAGCGGAAGAGGGCGAGACGGTCATTGTTGGGGAGACCCAGTTTGGACAAAAGGGAGAGGCGGAGGAGGAGGATGAGGAGATGGAGGTGGAGGAGGTCGTGCCTGCTAAGAAGGGCGCGCGAGGAGGAGCGGGCGCGAAGAAGCTTGTTGCGGCAAAAGGAAGGTCAGCGACGGAGAAGGCCGCAACCGGGGCGAGCGCGATGGACGACTTCGATGCGGCGCTTGCTGCCCCTCTCGCCGGCCCGGAAGGTTCAGGTGCGAAGCCCAGCGCGAGGGAGAAGAAACTCGAGGCTCAACTCGCCGCCGTACGCTCCCTTCCCCCTTCCCTCCTCTCTTCTCCGCTGACAAGGTTCTCGTTGGGGGGGCAGACGAAGAAGGCTCTGTCCGAATCCCAAGCGCTCTTCAAGAAACTCTCCGAGTTGCGCGAGACGCGCGCAGAGGAGGCGGAGCAAAGGTTGCGCGAGATCTCGGACGAGCGGATCAAGTGTTCGTCCCCTCCTTCCCTTCCCTTCCCTTCCCTTTCCTCCCAGAACTCCAGCTGACGAGTTGCGAGATATAGCGGCAGGAGAAACGATCCAGTCTTATAAATCCGAATCCGACGCTTTGAGGACCGAACTCGCCTCGCTCCAATCCACCGCTTTCTCTTCGCCCCGCTCGAAAGCTGCGTTGGTCGAGTCGAAGCGGGTGAGGGAGCTGGAGGGGGAGAGGGACGAGGCGAGGGATTTGTTGGAGAGGGAGAGGAGCGAGAGGAGGGAAGAAGTTGAGGCGGTCGAAAGGAGGGAGAGGGAGAAGGCGAGAAGCGAAAGGGAGGGGTTGGAGAGGGAGGTCAAGGAGTTGAGGGAGGAGGGTGCGCCCCGTTTCCTGTCCTCCGCTGCGAGCCACGCTGACGCTCGACGGGAGGGCGCGCAGTCTCGACCCTCCGAACCGAGTTGAACGCCGAAGTCGCGCACTCCAAGTCTCTCCAACAGCAGCTCAAGTCCGCCCCCTCCACCTCCTCCTCCTCCGTGCTCCCTCTTCCCGCCGCTCCCTCGACCTCCGCCGCCACACCTACCGACACCCTCAAGCTGCAAGACGAGATCGAGCGCCTGACGCAGAAGCTCAACCTCAACGAAGACTTGACTGGCTTCGCCGTGCATTCCGTCAAGCAGGAAGACATGGGCGCTACATACGTCTGTCTCCTGAGCGACTGCGCAGGCACGACAGGCGGTTCGTCCCCTCCTTTTCCCTTCCCTCGAGAGAAGCTAATGAGGGGCAAGCGGACAGCTCTGAACTTCAAGTTGACGTTCCACCCGGACGGGACGACTTCTTACAAGCCAAACCTCGAGCCGGAGCGCGACGCAGCGCTCGTACAACTCCTCTCGCCCGAGCTGCAGGGGTACATGCGGTGCGTCCGCCCGCTCTCCCTCTCTCTTCAGCTCTCTTCCCCAACCCCTGGACGGCGATGACTGACGATTGGAGGTGGCGCAGGTTCGGCGCCGAGATGTCGTCCGAGTTCTTCAAGCGCCTCTTCGCGAGCGTCAACAAGGTCCGCATCTGACCGACTCCCCTTCCCTTCCCGCTTACTCTCTATACACCTGCGCCATGTCGTCTCGCTCCGTCTTTCTGTCTCAACTCCGTCCCGGAACCGTTGTCCTTACCCTCAACTTGCTTAGTGCGGCTCCGCCTGATCGCAGCCCCCTCACCTCGTGTAATCCGTCTCTCCGCCTTCATCTCGCGAGAGTGGAAAGGATCGAGAAAGTCTAGTTTGCAGCAAGAGAGTTATGCACGGGTTGGTATGATACGGCCAGGTCAGGAGAAGAGAGGAAAGGCGCGGAGTCGAGCCTTCGTCTCGCACGCTTACTGCCAGAAGAAGTGGTTGACAAACTTGACGCCGTCTGCGCGCACCGAATTTTCATCGTCAGCATCCCTTCGAAACTGGAGAGACGAAACAACCGCACAAGCGCTCGGCGTGACCTGCACGATATCGCCCCTCCTCAGCTCGACCTTGGGGATCTCGTTCGGCGTCAAGCCTTGCAGGTAGGCCATGATGCAGCGAATTACCGAGCCGTGGCCGATGAAGAGGATGTCGGCGGGTTCGCGCTCGAGTTCGAGAATGACGGGTTCGAGCCTGCGTTGCGCGTTGGACGCATCCTCATCAGTATCCTGCATCATCGCAAGACAAGAGAGCTGAAGAAGCGAGAACTGCGACGCACCTGACGCTCAAGTCGTGGTAGCTCTCTGCACGCGGGTAGCGGTGTCCATACGGATCCAGCTCGGCCTTGTGGAACTCCTCCGGGTACTTCTCCTTGATCTGCTCAGGCGAGAGACCGTCGACGTCGCCCGGGTTGAGCTCGTACATCTGTTGTCGCTGGATGACCTTGTAGCCGAGTTCTGCCATCGGCCGGGCAGTCGAGATGCAGCGGCGGCGGGCGGAGGTCCATACCTGGGCCCGTCAATCGTTAGCGAGTCTCAGCAAAGTCGAGAGTGAGAGGTGCGCACGGTGAGTCTTCGCTCGTGTGGTTGCTCGCCCGCCTTGATCCGCTCCTCGAGCAGCTCTTTCCGCTTCGCGACGATAAAGTCTCGCAGCTTCTTCGCGTACTCGACTCCTTGCGGCGATAGGTCCGAGTCGGCCTTGAACGAGTGCTCGATGAGGGACTGGCCGGACTGCAGCAACCGAAGTCCGTCAGCCTCCCGCCCAGGAGCGCAAAGGCACCGAACGCACCCGCGCAAACCAGATCGTCCGCTTCTTGTGGTGGACGTTCATGAGGAAGAATACGATACGAGACTGGAGATAGCCGCGAATGTTGTTGACGACGAGTCGCTCGCCAATATTGTAGATCTTGACGAAGGGACCCCCGGACGTCTCCATCGTCTCGTACCGCTTGGCGTGCGCGGCGATGCGCCCCATGTAGTCCTTGACGGCATCGTCAGGGTTCCAGCCTTGGTACTGCGGCGCAAGAGCAATGTGAGCGATCGCGCGAGCTACCGTAAACGAGGAGGCGCACATCGGGCGAGCTGATCTTGACCGAGCGGATGTTTGCCTCGACAATGTCTTCTCGGTCGCAGATGTTCTCTGCGAGCATGGCCGAGGTAAGAGGCGAGCGTCAAGAGAGCCGAGGGAAACGAGCGCACCAATGAAGAAGACGTTGACCCCTTGCGCCTCGAACTTCTGCCTCAACGCTATCCGTGCAGCCTTCGTACCGTTCTGTGAAATTCGACAGCTGGTGTCATCAGCTTCAGCATCCGAACGAAGGCCTCGACCGAATATAAGCAGGACCACCTCGAACTCACGTTCGCATCGAAAATCGCGACTTGTCCCTCATTCTCCTTGAAGTAGCGCGCAACCTCTTCCTCCAGCGTGATCCTCACTTTCGCCCGCAACTCATCCGTCGCTGGGGATCGTCCTTCGGGGTGGAAGTAGTCGGGTGGGAGGTTGGCGGAGGGACCGAGCATGCGGCGGCGATGATCGCCGAGGGAGAAGACTGCGTAACCGACGTTCGTGAGCGGTCGATGCGCCGCTTGCAGCAAATACAGCTTCTTCGAGCAGATCCTGTGCTGGTGAACAAACCGAACTCACCCTTCGTCCGCACTCCAAGCCACCGCAAGTACCGCTCAACACTCCGCGAGACATGTCTGTTACGACGCACGAACGCGTCAGCAGCCTGCTGAGGCGAGAGAAGAGCGATAGCACCGCCTCTCGAGCGCGAGGAGAGGCGGTATCAATGAGCGGGAGGAGAGGACGCACGTCTTTCCACGAGCTGTACGCGATAGAAGAGTGTATCAACGTCCCATCGAGCACGTCTAGCAACCCTCACGAGCGCTGAACCGCGAAAAGCGTCATCAGTCCGAGACGCACCTGGGAGTCCAACGAAGACGAGGAGGATCTGGCCGGCTGTCGAAGGGCGTAAACGCTCAGTCAGCTCACACGGTACTAGGCTGAGGCAATTGGCGGGCCGGGCGTACCGTGCCAGAGGCGTCCGGAGTCGGTTTGGTAGAGTGGAGCTGGACGAGGGAATGAGAGTCAGTGAGCGCTTCGCGGGCGGAGTGAGCTGTGTCAGGCTGCGCACCTGCCATGTGGTAAGCCTCTAAGAGTCGTTCGAGACTTGGAGGAGCGAAGAGGCGAGAGCAGCGGTGACGAGCAGAAGGAGATCCTCCTCTTGAGAAGTCGGCGAACGTCGACAACGGCTTCTTGCTCCTCTGTCGCGCCAATCAGACAGTTAGCGAGTAGAAAAGGCCCTCGCGACCAAGCGGGACATGAAGACGAGCCATGTCAGCCCGGATAGATCGCTGCGCGAGGTGGAGGAGACAAAGCGAGAGCACAGATGCAGTTGCGGGGTTCTACAAGCAAAGCGAAAGGACCTTCTATGGTCTACATAACGAAGAAAGAAGGACAAGAAGGGTGGTAGTGGAAACAGCCGGGTCAACCGTGAGTAAGCGTCCGTGAAGAGTGTCTATCGCCAATTGTACTGCTTCTGCGGCGTCCAAGTCCCATCGCGACCCATCTCGACAAGCCCATACTCGCCCTGCTGGTCACCCTGCAGCGTCTGGGTCGGGCTGATTGACGCGCTCGTCAACCTGCTCTCGTTAGGCGAGGCAGCAGCCTTGCGCGCGACCCTCCTCGGGCCCATAACGATGCCCAGCGCCCACGCTCCTGCGTAGAGCGCGAGCCAGATGACGAGGACGACCCAGAAGGCGACTTTGGCGCCGTGCGGAATAGCCTTCGCACCGCTCGTTGCCGCCCATTCGTGGTCGAGTCCGTTCCAGATTTGCGCCCAGGCGAGGACGAGAGTGAGGATGCCGACGAAGATGTGGGCGAGGCGGAGCCAGGGGAACGAAAGGCGGCGGGTGTCGAGCGTGTCATTGCGAGGGCGGCGGGAGGGTCGGGCGCCGGTGAGTGGGTGAGGAGGCTTGCGGTGTCCGAGCCAGCCGAGCGCGCCTTGTACAAGCGCGAGCCCGCAGACGATCGTGCCGAGACGCTGGTGGTCGTCCTGGAAGAACCCGCCGGTCGTGCCGTAGACGCCGAGTCCGAAGGTCACGACCACAAGGACGAGAGTCGCGAGTTGGAGAATCAGATGGGGGCGGTACCACGCGAACCAGTCGCGTCCGAGACGGGCGATGAAGACGGCGGCAGGCGAGACGAAGGCGAAGGCGAGTGCGCCTGCGACGGCGTGTGCGGCGAGGACGACGGTGCGGCTCGTGACGGGACCGTTGCCCGACGCAATCTGCTGCGAGATCGTCGCGTTGAAGGAGGCAGCGAGGTCGAGCGAAGTCGTGCCGTAGCCCTGCGAAAGATCAAAGTCAGCCGACTGAAGCTGGAGAAGAGTCGACGAGAAGTGACGCACGAGGTTATGCTGCGCCAGGCTCGTCGTGCCCTCATTCCTCGAGGTGGCGAAGCGTACAGCGGCGACGGCGGAGGATTGGCGAGCATGCAGGCGACTTGCGTAGAAAGCGGGCGAGCAAGGCAAGGGCGACTAGGGGTATACGGCCTGAGAAGCGAGACGAGGTCGGCGCAAGTCCTGCTCGGGCGAGCGGGAGGGGAAAAGGGAAAAGTCGGTGAGCGCACCATGATCTGCTTCTTGTACTTCTGATAGATTGCCCTCCTGTTCAGCACGAGCATGCCGTTCTGCTGCGTCCACTCGGTGTCGCAGAGGACGACGTCTTCGAGCAACTCGTGCGACTCGAGGCCGGCCTTCTTCCCGACGGCGTTGACTGCGCAGGGGACGTGCTGTTGAATGGTCTTGTTGTCCGCGAGCATCTTGCAGTCGCCTGGGATACCGAGTGAAGAGGCGAGGTTCTTCAGCTTGCGTACGCGCGGGACGATGATCTGTCGGCAAAGGCAGTGTCACAAGCACGACTCCCATGGACGTTTGCAGCTCGTACGCACACCAATGGGCCTATCGGCCATGCAGTCTGCGTAGACCAGGATCTGCTTGACGAATTCGCAAGACGCGTAATGCCACCTGCAGGGAGACCAACGCCCAACCGCCCTTGTCAGCGTGCCTCAACACCCACGGATCGCTTCCGACGCACTCTAGCTTCTCCACCTCTATCAGTCTGTCCACGGTCGGCATAACACGGACCACATCAGGTCGCGCGCGATACCACTCTAACTGCCGTTCCAACGCCACGTACCGCGCCTTCCGCTCCGCTTCTTCCGTGGTCACACGCAGGGGCGACTCGTGGCGTGGGATAGAGCGGGCGGACGAAGCCGATGCGTTGTTAGAAGAGTTGGGGGCAGGCGAGGGGTCGACGTCCTCCCTCTTCTCGTGCGCACTTTCGGCGTCATCTGCCGAAAGTCCATCGCCGTCAGCGCATGAAGGACCTTGTCGTCGCGCGTTAGAAGATGTAAGCGCACCTGTTTCGTCTGTCGAGTCTGAAGGCGCGGGGGGAAGGAAGCGAGCGCCGTTGCGAGCGAGGACACAGCGACGGAGTGAAGTATTTCGTCTCCGGGACGAGCGGATGGGAGGTTCCATCGTAGCGACGAGAGGATACGAAAGCAGAGGAAGCCGAACGATCGCAGTGCGGCATGCGGGCGAAACACGAACGCGCGCCTCGCTCGTTCGGGAGTCGCGGCAAACATTAATCGAGACTTACTGCTGTATGTACGACACCGCTACGACGGAGCGAGAGACGGGGAAAGAAGGGCGCTGTGGGGAAACGCTGCGAGCTCGCGAGGAGTCTGAAGGAGTGTTGGTCGAGGCAGGGCTGGAATTAGTGGGCGTTGGACAGTACATGCGGGCGGAGAGCGAGCTGGTATGAAGCTGAAATGCGAGGCGAGGCGAGGTGAGGCGAGGGCGACTAGGGGTAGACGGCCTGCGAACCGGGAGAACGAGGTCAGGAGGGGTCGAGCGGGAGAAGCGGAGAACAAGGTCAGGAGGGGTCGAGCGGGAGAAGCGGAGACGTGCGACGCACGTCAATCTCCTTCTTGTACTTCTCGACAATCACCTTCCTATTGAGCTTCTGCGCAGCCGTGAGCATCCCGTTCTGCGGCGTCCACTCCTCGTCGCAGAGCACAACGGTCTGCAGCGTCTCGAGCGGCTTGAGGCCGGCCTTCTTGCCGACGCCGTTGAGCGACTTAAGGACGTTGTCGCGGATCGACTGGTCGTGAACGAGCGTGCCGAGGTCGCCAGAGACGCCGAGGGACGATGCGAGGTTCTTCAAGTTGTGCTCATGAGGGAAGATGACCTGCGGGCAGAAGTCTGCGTCAGCGGGCACCTTTGAACGGCGCTTCCGGCTCGTACGCACAGCCATGGGCTTGTTGGCGTTGCTGTCGGCGTGGATCATGATACGGGCGACGTATTCGCATGACGAGTAGAGGGACCTGTTCGCCGCGCAGTTGTGAAGGTCGTCAGTACCGCCCGCAACCCGGTCAAACGAGCGAAGGTGCAGCCACGACGCACTCGAGCCTCTCGAGCGCAATGTACTCGCCACCAGCGAGCTTGACGAGGTTCTTCTTGCGGTCGATGACCGAGAGCGTGCCGTCCTGTGCGGTACCACGCGACATTCAGTCAGCTCTTCCGCTCGCAGGGGAAAGAGAGCGGAGCGGCGATGCAAGACGCACCTTGTTCCACTGCCCGACATCGCCCGTCTTGAACCACCCGTCTTCGGTCCACGCCTCCTTCGTCAACTTGTCCTGCTTGTCTGCGCACACGAACGGAGCGTCAGTCTCTTCGCACTGACTAAGCGACGCCTTCTCGAAGCGAGAAACGGCGTCGCAAGCCTTGAGCGAGGAGCCGACTCACAGTAGCCCTTGGTGACACTGGGTCCACGGATCCAGATCTCGCCCTGAGGCGGGTCGTTCGTCGCCTTGTACCCAGCCTCCTCGACTGCGCGCATTACAACTCGTCAGCTTAAAAGTGGGTGAGAGGGGGAGGAAGGGAACGCACCGTCGACGAGCTTGATCTCGCACGAAGGGACGGGGACGCCGACGGTCGAGTATTGGTGCATCTCGGGAGGGAGGAGGCAGCACATGCTATAGGAGTGAGGGAGCGAGCGAAGTCAGCGCGATGGAAGGGTGAGAAAGAGGGAGGGAAAAGGAACGGACGCGGTAGACTCGGTCATGCCGTATCTGCAGCCGGACAAAGCCGTGACAGACGTCAGTCCATGCTGCGGAGTGTTTGCAAGGGAGACGACGAATCGCCGTCGCGGACGCACCCTTGGATGATCAACACCAACGCGATACTGAGGAACTCCTGCGTCTCCCTCGAGATGGGCGCGCCACCGCTCAACGCATACTTTAGTTTCCCGCCCGTCCCCTGCTTGACCGCCTCAAAGACAACCTTGTCCGCGATCCCCGCCAGGAACGATCCGCGCCCTCCAAACTTCTTCGCTGCGACGCCGAGGTCGAACACTTTCGACTTGAGTGCGCCGGCCGACTTGACTTTCGTGACGATGCCCTTGCGGATCGTCTCCCAGACTGCGGGGACACCGACCATGATCGTGGGCTGGAGCTGGCGGATGTCGCCGAGGCAGTTGCGAACCGAGGCGTCTGTGAGCGTCTTGACTGCGGGCGGCGAATATGGGCGGCAGTCAGCTCCAGCAGCAGGAACTATCGAGCGCGATCGAAAACGCACCATTGCCGTAACCCATGCGCGCGCCGACCCACATGAAGCACATCTCGACCGCGAACTCCATGATGTGTGCGAGCGGCTATGAGAGCGACATGGGGTCAGCTTCAAGCCCCGAGGAAACAAAGCGAGCAAACTCACAAGGTAGGCGATGTACGTCTCGCCCTTCTTGACGACGTGTCCGAGCAACTTCTGGACGGCGCCGATGCAAGCGACGATGTTGGCGTTGGTGATCTGGACACCCTTGGGCGCGCCAGTCGATCCAGACGTGTACATCAAGCACGCGACGTCCTCGGGATCAGGGAGGTTGGGCTCGCTCGGGTTCTTCCTGCCCAACTCGATGAACTCGTCAAAGGTGTAGACCTTGCATTCCTCGGGGACTGAGCTCTTGAGCTTCTCGAGCGCGCCGGAGGGGATCTCGTTCGATTTGCCGTCGTAGACAACGACGCGGAGAGACGGGGTGGACGAGACGACCGAAGCGAGGGTCGAGAGGAGCGAGGCGTTGGTGAAGATGCCGTAGGCTGAGGGCTCGTTGATCGAGTGCCGGAGACCCTCTTCGCCGAGCGAGTCGTACGCGGTCGCAAAGGTAATACTCTGCTGCGCGCAGGCTGTGGGACGGGAGGTAGAAGGAGGACGAGCGGGAGTCAGCGATCCGTCAAATCGCGAGCGACGCCAGGCCCGCCGCCAACGTACCATTCGCCATGACCTGCCACCTCGGAGTCGTCGCGCTGTAGATGTTGAAGACCTGGCCCGGCTCGCAGCCGACATGAACGAGCGCCGAACCCGCCGCCGAGACGACGTCCTTGAACTGCTTGTAGGTCCACCAGTGGTAGTCGGAAAGGTGAAAGTAGGACCAAGTCTTCTTTTCGGTCACTTCTTTGCCGCCGACGATCTGGCACAGCGCGAGCGAGAGGAGCGAGGTTGGGGAGAGGTGAGGTCATGAGATGAGGTGGACATCGGAAAGGGCGATGACAACGGCCGGCAGGCGTCGGTGCAGGGTAGAGGATTCAACGAGAAGTTTCTCGTCAGCCTGACTGGCCCAGCAACGTTCCGGAAGCAAGGTGAGCCGAGAGCGCACCTTCTTGACCTCCTTGTCCTCCTTGATCACATCGACCGTGTCCCTCCATCCGAGCGCCTCGACATCCGCAAACTCGTTGACAGCGTGGTCGAGGACCTGCGCGAGGACCGTGACTTTGCCAGGAGCGGGCGAGGTGACGAGTTCGCCTGGGGCGACGAACGAGCGGCGTGCGCGGGTCTCGCCCGGCTGTGCGGGCGGGCCGACCTGGGTTGTCGAGCATGGCGAGTGCAATGAGAATACGTGCGAGCGGCGCAGGTGCGTGTGATGGCGAGTGTGAGGGTCGTCGAGGTGGGGCGGCGATGTTGGGCGTCAGCGGGAGCGAGCGAAGAGCGACAGAGCGCTGTGCGCACCTCGACGGAGCCTTGCTTGATTTGTGGCATGCTAGAGTGACTGCGGAACTGTTCGAGCGCGAGAACAAGCGACGCCACGGTGGACGTTGGTGTGTAACCCGGTGAAAGCGACTTGCCCAGGAGAACTGCATCGGCAACATCGCTCTGATGGGCTGTTCTTGACGTGGATGCACTGCAATACACTCTGTAAACCTACTGCAGACGAGCACGAGCCGCCCGGTGATCCACCTGAGAGGCCCACTGTACGTCGTAGGCGCTCCATGCCCACTCGACGAGGCGATGAAGAGTATGGAGAGGGGCTGGAGGGTGCCGGCAAGGTGGCAGGTGGTGATGCGGAGGACCGGGCGAAGGGTAGAGTGAATGTCGCGTCAAGATCCGGGATGCTGCGTCGGCCAATAAGTCCAGGCGGCGAGACGGACGGTACAGCAGGGTTGACAGGGTCAAGAAGCATCTGAAGAGAAGCCTGATCGGGTAGCCCTGAAGCAGGAAGAGAGGAGAGGGAGGAGCAGGACGACGAGGACAAGCCACAACACCCAGGGCGGAAGTTGAGCCAGTCTGCCCTTGCCAGACTCCTCCTGCAAACTCCGCAATCCCGTGTATTCGTCCGTAACTCCGTTCAGCGTTGGTGCGGCGAGTTTAGGCGGCGGTGACGAGTCGAGCGGGCGAGGATGACGCAGACTGCATGGAGCGGCGCGGTAGTTTGCGCCAAAGCACAGCGAGTCAATTAGTGTCACTGGAACGCAGCCTGGGCAGCCCGAGCGATGTGAGGGTGGCATCGAGGAGCGAGAGGGGGTGTCCTCAAGGTCGACCAGAACCACACCGCTGCCACTCGCTCAAAGGGCGCGAAGTCAGAGTTGTACACGCTCAGACAGCTCTCCAGCACGGCCAGGAAGCATTCGCTTGCTTTCCCACGCCCCCAGTGACCCGACTTCTCCTCCACCCTCCCCTCATCAACTCACGGCTCGACCGACTCGAAAAACCGCCTGAAACGGACTGGCTGGCGTTGCATAGCGGTCAGGTAGACAGGCAAGGATGGGCAAGGGCTTCGCCATCACCAACCAGAAGGTGTCCATCTCAATAGGACTGCAGGGTCGCATCCATGTCAGTGTCGGCTACCTCATTCGTGCGCCTGGATGGCCAAGCTGACCGTCTATGGCACCTCCAACAGGGCTACACAGAGTTGACGATCGTCCCGACGGCGGCGGACCTCCGCACGGTCTGGTTGCATGCCCGCTCGCTCTCCATCCTTTCGTGCTCCCTCCGCCTACCGACCGTCGTCCCGCTCGCCTTCTCGCACCTCCCACCCTCCATGCCGGCCCTGACGCAGCCCGAAAACATCCACACCTACCCGGAGATGAAGCGGCAGATCTGGCGCGCTGAGAACGAGGGCGAGGAGGGAGAGTTGGGAATTGCGATCCCGCAGGGGTGTATCGTCAGGACGAGTATTGGGATGGGAAGGACGCCGAGTACGGCGCCGACGCCGGCTAAGGACGGACTGCTCCCCAGGACGGACGAGTTTGAGCCGTTCACGGTCGCGGTCGAGTACGAGGTTACCAAGCCTGGGATCGGGCTTGTCGTTGTCGGGCCAGACGAGGCGAACCCTTCCGTGCGTTTGCTTCTCCTTCCTTCCGGTGTCTCTCGCGCTGACGTTCGCCTGAACTCGCAGCGCTTCCCCCACGTCTTCACCTCGTCCATCTCCGACATCGGCGCACGCACCTGGGTCCCCTGCTCCGACTCGCCACGAGAACGCTGTTCCTGGGACCTCGAGCTCGTCGTACCTCGCGTCCTCGCCTCTGCCCCGCCCGACAAGCGGAAACGAGACGGACCTGTACCGGCGGAGGACGGCGCGAACGGGACCACGGCCGAGGAGGACGAGGAGGACGAGGACGAAGAGGACGAGGAAGTCGATGCCGAGTACCCCATCTCGGTCATCGCATCGGGCGAACTCGTCGAACAGGTCGTCCACCCCGACCGGTCCGACCGCGTCATCTGGCACTTTGTCCAGGTCTCGCCCGTCAGCGTCCAGCAGGTCGGGTGGGCTGTCGGACCGTTCGTCGTCACGGAGGTGCGGGGGACGAAGAAGCGTGCGGACGGCGAGTCGCGAGAGGACGACGAGGATGAGGATGGCGCGGCGGTGCAGGATGATGGGCCGGCGATTCATGCGCTGTGCTTGCCCGGCAGGGAGAGCGAGATGGAGTACTCGGTCGGCGTCATCCGGCAAGCGATGGAGTTCTACACGGCGACGTTCGGCTCGTACCCCTTCGTAACCTACGCCGTCGCCTTCGTCGACTCGCTCGCCTCCGCCTCGCCGACCTTCCACTCCGCCGGCCTGACGATCCTCTCGTCCGACATCCTCCACCCGCCAAGTGTCATCGACCAAGCGTACGAGACGCGCCACCTCCTCGCACACGCCCTCGCAGTCCAGTGGTCCGGCGTTAACCTCATCCCGCGCACGCCGTCCGACAGCTGGCTCATCATCGGCATCGCCCTCCACATGACGAGTCACTTCGTTCGTCACCTCTGGGGCAACAACGAGTTCCGCTTCCGGCTCAAGAAGGACATCAATCGCTGCGTCGAGCAAGACATCCAGTTCGAGCCGATCTGCGTCCCGGCGCGCTTGACCCTCCCCGAACCGAACCAGATGCAGTTCATCGCGCTCAAGGCCCCGCTCGTCCTGCACATCCTCGACAAGCACCTCCGCAAGAGCGGCACGAGTCTCGGCCTCGACAAGGTCTTTCCCAAGATCTTCCTCGACGCCATTTCGGGCGAACTCACGTCGCAGGCCAACTCGCTCTCGACTACGTCGTTCATGCGCACGTGTCGCAAGCTGTGCGGCGGGTCGTCCGAGGCGCTCAAGATCTTCTTCGACCAGTGGGTCTACGGCTCGGGCTGCCCGACGTTCGAGGTGACGGCCAACTTCAACCGCAAGAAGATGGCTGTCGAGCTCAACGTCACGCAGCGGTGTTACGCGTACGCGTGGAGCCAGAAGGCGCCGTGTGAGGCTCAAGGGCATCTTCGACCAATCCCGCTCTTCGACGGCCAGATGACGATCCGTATCCACGAAGCCGACGGGACGCCGTACGAGCACGTCTTGACGATCCAGGACTCGTTCAAGCGCCACGAGGTCCCGTTCAACACCAAGTACAAGCGTGTGCGGCGAAACACGAAGCGGTATCAGGCTCGACAGGCTGCCGCGACCGCCGCTGCGCTCGGCGACATCGAGGCGCAAGAGGACATGGGGCTGATCGACCTCGGGTTCAGTCTCGGTATGTGGGAGGACGAGAAGGAGCGAGAGCGGTGGCGCGTTGCAGACTGGACGGAGGAGGACGACCTCGTCATGAGCCAGGCGACGTACGAGTGGATCCGCATCGACGCCGACATTGAGTGGATCTGCATCGTCAAGTTCACCCAGCCCGACTTTATGTGGATCTCCCAACTCCAGCGCGACAGGGATGTCGTCGCCCAACTCGAGGTGGGTCGACGTTCGTGACGCTCCTGCTGAGTCGGTCGTATCACGGCATCAGCTAATTGACGTCGCATCCCTCGCTCGCAGGCCATCCACGCCCTCTCGAGCATCCCCTCGCCGATCGTCTCGAGCAATATGTGCAAGACGGTGCTCGTCTCGAACTACTTCTTCCGCATCCGAATGGAGGCCGCTCTGGCGCTCATCTCGGTACGTAGAGCGGCGTTGCACGGCGAGCGTGCAGCTGCTCACCTCTCGGCTCCTCCAGTGCGCGACGCTCGAGCAGCAGTACCTCGGCCTCTTCCACCTCTTCAAGACGTTCCAGACCTGGTACTGCTTCGAACCGGACGTCGAGACGAAGGACCCATTTGGCTTCCGCTGCATCCCCAAGACGAACGACTTCTCCGACTTCACCCTCTACTTCATGAAGAAGGCGCTCGTCACCGCCATCTCGATGATCCGCGACGAGCGAGGACAGACGCCGCCCGTCATTCAGCAGTTCCTCGTGGACCTCCTCGCCTACAACGACAATCTCGGGAACAAGGTGCGTTGACGAGCCTGACTCCCCCGCTGCCTCATGGCTGACGCCCTCGTCGCGACAGTACTCGGACGCGTTCTACATCACGAGCGTCATGAATGCCCTCTCGCACACGCTCGTCAATGTCGTCCCTCGAGACTTGAATGGCGACACCGACCAGATCGCCGAGGTCGACAGCAACGAGAACCTCGCGCCCGCTGTTCAGGAGGTTGAGCGGTATCTCGCTTCCGACCGACTCGTGCCGAGCTACCATAATGCGGTCACCATCGCCGGCATTGAGGTGCGCAGCCGACTGTTCCGTTCGAAGCGCTCCCGAGACGCTGACTTGAGTTGCTTTCGCAGTTCAAGCTCAAGCTCACGCTCGCCTCGCTCATTCCGGAAGACCGCATGTTCTTCTTCAACTACACTCGCGACGGCAACTACCCTCCCCTCCGCATCGCCGCTTTCGACGCCCTCCTCCTCCTCAACCCGCTGCAAGACGTCATGGCGCTCGTGCGGTATCTCTTCGCCGTCATGCGGGACGACTCGTCACGTCTCGTGCAGCGACGGCTGGCGGAGAGCGTCCTTGAGTCGCTGCCGGTCCTCGTCGCGATCCACGACCTCGCCGCCCCAGACCCCAACGCGGATCCAGCCGGCGACGCCAAGAAGGAGCGCGACGAGCTTGCGAACGTCCTCAAGATGCTGCGCAAGAAGCCCGGAAGGTCCATGAACTACCGGACAAGCCTCTTGCAAACGCTCACCTCGCCCGACGTCGACCCCGAGGTCCGCCTGTGCTGCCTCAAGATCTGCGAGGCGACCGTTCGCCCTGAAGGCGAGCCGATCCCGAAGATGCGCTTCCGCCTTCCTCCTACTCCTGCTCCTGCGCCCGTCCCCGAGGCGCCGCCCACGCCAGTGCAGACGTTCCCGAAGCTCAAGCTCGGCGGGCCGGCTACGCCCAAGGTCGCTATCCCCCCGCGCATCGACGAGTACACGCCCGTCGGCGCCTTCGACGAGTTCGCCCAGCCTTATCAGCCTTACCAGGAACCCATCCCTCCGCCTCCGCCTCCCGTCATCAAGCCGCCGAAGAAGCCGAAGGACAAGGTGGTCAAGCCGCCAAAGCCTCAGGCGTCGCAGGCGTCGGGAATGCCTCTCGCGGACGTGACGGCGTGCAAGAGCCTGCTCAAGAAGCTGCTCAAGGACAAGAAGTCGTTCATCTTCCGCGCTCCAGTCGACCCGGTCAAGGCTGGTGCGCTCGACTACTTCGACAAGATCAAGAATCCGATGGACATCGGTACAATGAGCGCAAAGCTGTCCGCCGGCGTCTACCCAGATCGCTACGCCTTCCGGGACGACTTCAAGCTCATCATCAGCAACGCCAAGCTGTACAACGGCGCCTTCTCGCCAATCGGAGAGCTCGCCAACGACCTCGACATGATGTTCGACAAGCACTGGGAGCGCGTCGAGGCAACGCTGAGCAGGCTCGAGGGCGGCCAGCCCAGCTATGCCGCTGCGCCCGAACTCGCGAGGCTACCGAAGATCCCGAAGCATGCGATCCCTCCGCCGCCACCTCCACCCCTGGACGGCTACTACGGCTCGCCTGCGCCTGCTCCTCACGCCCCGACGCCCATCATCAGTCTGAAGCTCAAGGCTCCCGCACCTCCTCCTCCACCTCCGCCTCTCCCCGCCGCGGCAGATGCCAGCGCTCCTGCTCCCGCCGCTACTCCCGCCCAATCGCCTCCTCCGCCTGCGCAGCCGCAAGCGCAGGCAACCCCGGCTCCCATACTCGCCTCTCCCGCCTTGCCTCCCCTTCCCTCCGGCCCGCCGTCCGCTTCCCCGGCTGGTACGCCCGCACCTCCTCCTGTGCCGAAACCGACGTTCAAGATCAAGCTCGGCGGCGCATCGATCAAGGACGCAACACCCAAGCCTCCAAAGGCGGCGTCTTTCTCGCCCGAGGTCTCGTACAGCCCCGCCTCGACGACCTATCCCGACTCTTACGACCCCGCCCTCGCCGGCATCGGTCCGCCGAAGCAGAAGAAGCAGCGCGACGTCAAGCTGGAGAAGAAGAAGGCCAAGGGCCCGATCAACTATGCCGAGCCGCCCGACCTCGACTTTGACGACGCCGACTCGACCGTGCCCGTCAACCCGACCCCTGTCGCGTTCGCGGTCCCGCAGCGTCCCGAAGTGCTAGACACGCCGCGCCCGCCGTACCCGACCAAGTGGGTCGACCCCGAAGGTCCGGTCGACATCGCCAAGGCGAGGAATGTGCTCAGCAAAATCCGCAGCTTGCGCGAGGCCTTCTTCTTCCAGTACCCGGTCGAGCCTGTCGGACCGCTCGCGACGTACTACGACGAGATCGAGCAGCCGATGGACCTCGACACGATGTCGAAGAAGCTCGACGCCGGCGCCTACCCGAATTACTCGGCCCTCTTCTCCGACTTTGACCTGATCGTCGCCAACTGCGAAAAGTTCAACACGCCCAACACCGAGCCGATCTGGCACGTCCTCCTGCTCGACCGGGCATGGCGCACCGAGTGGGAGAAGGCGAACAAGCTCAGCTACAACACGAAGCGGAGCCTTGGCGCGTTCCTCAAGAAGCTCATGGAGGACGGATCGTGAGTCGCGACGTCTTCCTCCTACTCCCAACCGCCCGCTGACCTTCGTCCCGCCTCTCAGCGCCCTCCCTTTCAATGTCCCGATTGCGGACCTCGCCGTGCAGGTCCCGAACTACCACGACTACATTCCGAAGGAGGACGGCCGCGACCTGCAGGATCTCAAGCGCAAGCTCGAGACGGACCAGTACAACTCGATCGAGGCGCTCGAGGCCGACTTTGACCTGATGGTGCGCAACTGCTACCGGTTCAACGGGATGGAGAGCCAGGTGTCGTTCTCGGCGCGTGAGCTCGACGGCAAGTTCAAGGCCGGCATCAAGCGCATCAAGACCGACTCGCTCAAGCAGAACAAGCGCGCCGGCTCGTCGGGCGTCGGCGGCGTCAGCAAGAAGCAGCGGATCTGAACTCTTCTTGCACAAACCCCAGCATCTCTAGCATCCAGTCGTTTCCCCTATGTTGTTCTAGCTTACACCTGCAACGCCGTTTCACGATGTTCGTCCTTTGTCCCTCCTCTGACCTTCGCAAGCAGGTCCTTTCCTCTCATCTCTCTTCATCTGCCCCTCCGTCTCAGTGCATCTGCGCTCGACGCTCACCTTCCGCCGTTCTTCTCGCTGACCCACTCTCGCGCACGCACGCACAGCCGCTATCGAGCGCACGCACCCCTTCTTCTCGTCTTCCCACTTCCGTCGCCCAACACTCTCGCTCTTCTCCTCCTCGCGCTGCTAGCAGACTGGACATCTCACTCGTTTGACATCCACGCTCGTTACTCTCAATGGCGCCTGCGGCCATCTCTGCGGCTGCTCTCGCCGCCTTCGTCTCGCTTCTCGCCGCACGACCCGCTGCTGCCGGTACTACGACTTCTGTGGCGACGACCAGCACCGCTACAACAACCACTAGCCAAAGCGCTCACCCAAGGACGAGCGCGGCGGCCAGCACTTCGCCCAAGGCTCCGGAGATTCCCCTTAGCCTCCAGTATCTCGAGAGGGTGAGCACCTCCTTTCCTTTCCTCTTCCCAGGCAGAGGAGCTTACACACTCACTCTGCAGTACGACCAAAGCGTCTGTGAGTCTGCGTCGCAGGATCCGTCCCCACTCCCGCCCTTCTTCGCCTGATGCCTGACTTTCCCGTTTCCTGGCAGACGAGAACACCGAGGCTTTCTGGTCTGTGCTTCCCTCGGTATACGAACGCTGTACATCACTGACGGCTTTGATCACAGCAACGACTGGGACTCGTCCTGTGTCGAGTACCTCTCGTCCTTCTCCGACATCCACCAGGTGATCTGCGATGCTGGTGCTGCCGGGCGTGCGTTAATCTTCTGCCTGTGTTCTGGGCTTGCGCTGACACCTCCCGTCCCGCAGCCGACGTTCACGTCTACTGCGGTGGCAACACCGTCGCGCAGGAGAACGAGTTCTTCGACTTCAGCAATAACGTGCGCTCGAGTCCACTTCGCTCCAAGGACGTTGCTGATGAGTTTACACGATACAGGTCCAGCGCTTCGTCTCGGCCTCACTGATCGAAGGCCCGTCTGGTTACGGCGAGGCGGTCGGCGATTCGACCACAACGACCATTTCTTCGCGTCACTCGACGACCACGACGCGCTCGCACAGCGCAACGTCTTCGAAGCCACCGTCGTCTAGCGCACACACAACCTCGTCTCACACAAGCTCGCCGCATACGACCTCGCCTCGCTCGTCGTCAAAACCTGCTACGAGCTCGTCTGCTTCGCACAGCAAGTCAACCACGACGAGCAGTCCCCACTCGCACTCGACAAGCTCGACTCGCGCTCACTCCACTCACTCAACCTCGATCCGCTCTACCTCGTCTACGCACCACGCTTCCTCCTCGCACACGACTTCGCGCGTGTCTCAATCGACCACACGTCCTCACTCTTCGGCCGCATCCCACGCTCCGACGACGACCCACAAGTCGGCGAAGCCGACTTCGCACCTCTCTGAAGCCGCCAAAGTCGCCATCGTCGCAGCCAACGAAGCGCGCAAGCACGCCCTGGCGCACCTCAAGGCCAACCGTGCCTTCGCCGAGCGTCGTCTTCGCGCTCTTGCTCGCCGCAAGAAGGCCGAGTTGCACGCGCTGGTCCAGCGGAGGAAGGAGCAGGTCCAGCATGCTCGCAAGCTCGAGCGCGAGAGGGAGGAGAAGGCTAGGAAGGTTGCGCATGACAAGCTTGTCCAGGCAAAGGGGAAGCTCAGGGCGAAGAAGCTGTTCGAGGCGGTCAAGAAGGGGTTGTCGCACGAGGCGCAGGTCGAGGCGAGGCTTGAGGCCAAGTTGGGGAAGGAGACCGTCAAGTGGTTGGATGAGTGGCTTGAGAAGGAGGTCGAGAAAGACGTCAAGGAGCTGCTCAAAGCGCACTCGTCTGCGAAGGAGCGCATCCGGTCGGGTCATTAGGCGACGCGCTGTCGTTTCTCTGCCAGTTCTCGACCCCGACTTCCTCTTTCTCCCCCTTCTTATCGGCCTTGCGTATCCTCCCTTATCACGGCGCACGGCGCGTATTGATGGCACCGCGCCCTCTCGCCTCTCGATAGACCGCTCGCACGCTGCAACAGACACTTCCTTTTCATTCGGTTGCGCTCGTATGGGCAGTGTCTGTAGCTGCAAGTCTGGGGGACGCACTACAGCACGAAAAGAAAAGACAAGATGAATGATAAGAATAGCCTCGCGCGCTATCAGCGCCGGCGAAGGCAGACGAAGCGAACGAAGGAGGGCGCGAGGAGGGCGCAAGGAGGGAATGTACAGGCGAAGGCGAAGAGGAAGAGGGAGGAAAAGGAATAGAGTCTAGGATGCTGCGATAAGTAAAGACATGTAGCGTGGATGCTGGAACGAATGGGTGGTACTGCGAGCGAAGGGAGCGAAAGGAGCGGATGCCGGCTCAGGGAAGGAGCTCCGGCTGTGGGCAGGCGACGGCGGGAAGGGCTGCGGGAGGTGTGAGGCCGCGCATGCGGTACCAGTGCTGCGGAGGGGGTCGGTCAGCGCGGGAGAGAGGGGAAGTAGGCGGAAGACGAACCTGCATGAGGTACCAGGCTTGCGTCCGGAGCGCCTGTGTATTGCCGTTCGGGTACATCAGAGTGTAGCCGTCGTTCTGAAGAGGCAAAGAGCGTTAGTAAGATAGTGGAGAGCGAAGAGAAGAACGAGGCGAACGTGGTTGACGTAGTTGCAGCAGTAGTCGTCTGCGGGAGGACGAAGAACGAGTCAGCCGTCGCTCGCAGTTCCAGATATAGCAGAAGCGACCTCACCGTGACCGAAGATGGACCACATCATCGACCCGGACCCGTCCCAGCTCTCGATAGTCGCGTAAAAGGTGTTCAGGTCGCTGCCTCCCTTCTGCTCGTTGCCGCAACTCGTCAGCTCACGGCGTGCGACGAGAGGTAGGGTGTGGAACGCACCTGACCAGTCCAGTCGTTCTCGCCGACGAAGAAGTTCTTCGAGATCGACTTCATCCAGCCTTGGTCCTTCTCGAGCAGCCACTGAAGCGCTGGGTAGAAGTGGTCGGTCCTGCGCGCCAATCTCTGGTCAGCCTTCAACCGAAGCGTCGTTGGAAGAGGGCAGGCGACGCACACAAGATCAACCTTGGAAACCCCGACACCCGTATTCGCCAAATCGCCGTTATAGTTCGTCAGTCCGTCCGAGCCGTCTGCGACGAGGTGATTCGGCGCGAGGGACTTGATGTAGGTCGCGATGGATTTGGTCCACGAGGCGGGAGGGGCGCCGCCGCCGAGCATGTAGCCGCCGAGTTCGTTGCCTGCGAGGAGAGGGGTGAGTCCCGGCGAGGCGGAGAGGATAGGCGAGGGGCGGACCAGTCTCCCAAGCTACAAGGTATCGAGAATGGTCAGCTCGACCTCGTGGCAGACGAGCGAATGCGCAAACGCACCAAGAATCGTCGGGTCATCCTTGAGCGCGACCTGCGTCTCCTCATCCCGTCAGCCTCCATCTCTTCCAAGCTCAGTCTGGGTGACGCACCCCAGTATACTGATTAACGTGCGTCAGCAGCACCTTGATGTAGCCCTTGAAGAGCTCGATCACGGCGCTGTTGGTGTAGAATTGGCTGCCGTCGCTCGTGTCGGCTCCGGCCCAGCTGTGGAAGCCACCTCCGTTTAGCAGGGTTGAAAGGGAGAAAGGGAGGGAGGAAGGTACCCGATGAAGTCGTATTTGCCGCCTTGGTCTGCGGGAGGGAGGGTTAGGAAGGTCGACTTGGCTCGGTGGCCTAGAGACGCACAGTACGCATAGTTGTCTGTGCGAGCGAAGGGATGGTCAGCTCGGCCAGACAAGGCAGAGGAGAAGAGGCTGCACCGGTCAAAGGAATGATCAACCTCAAGCCATAGTTCCTCGCCGCCCAGATCGAGTAGTCAATCGTATCGAACTGCGCTCGCTCGTGTCAGCTCTACGAGCGTCGAGCAAAGAGCATTGGTGGAAGGACGCACGGCCTTGTTGTTCGTCTTCCACGCACTCGGCCAAAGCGAGTAACTGTTCCCCGTACTGCTCCTCGCCCGAATCAGCCCACGTCCCGCCCCGTGAAGACTGGAGAAGACGCACCTGATACCGAGGGTATGCGACCGGATCGTGTTGCCGCCCAGCGCGACAGTGATGGCCATCGCTTCGCGGATGCGGCCGTGCGAGGGGTAGGAGGGGCTGGGGTAGACGTTCTCGTCGAGGCCGAGCCAGTAGATGTCTGCGGACGTGACAGCGTTAGCTCTTCATCTCAGACGTACAGACTGCGCTTGATAAGGAAGCGAGAGTGGAGCAAAGCGAGCGAAGGGGAACGCACTCGGCCCGACAATCCTGTACGTCTCGCCATCCAACACGAGTTTGTTCCCGCTCCGCTTTACGAACGTCGATGGCCGAGGGAGCATGGGGAAGTCTCCCAGTCCCGGGCCGTAGACGGCTGATGTCCCTGCGACGCCGTAGTAGGGAGTCGCGCAGGTCGAGGCTGGAGGAGCGGGGAGGACGAGGCTCCCTCCGACTGTGGACTTGGTTGTTGTTGCTGCTGATGCGGTTTTTGACGCAGAAATCGCAGGCGAGGGCGGGGCGGTGGAAGGTTTCGCCGCCGTCGACGTCCCGTTCGTCGGTTTCCACTTTGGATTCAGCGCGATCCACTTGGGGTTGATGAGCAGCTTGTTTGCCAGATCCGCCGCGGCAACCTTGTTGTTGATCTGGTCGCGCTGCTCGTCCTGCGTCAAGTCCCTCTCCGCCAACGCCTCCGAATCCGCATACCGCCCTTCCGAGACCCACAAGTCGTCATCTGCCGTCCAGCTCCCAACGACCGCTCGGTACCCTTCCCCGCTCGTCCCAGCAGGCGGCTCAAACTCGACAGCCCGCTCATCAACCCACTCTGCCGCCCGATCAACCAGGACCGACTCGGCTCTCGCGTCGCGCGCAAAGACACCGCGCGAACCGTGTTGTTGCGGATGGGAGGGGAGGTGGTGCGAGCCTCCGTGTGGGTGTGCGGCGGAGGCGAGTGCGGAGAGCGGGAGGGTTAAGGCGACTGCGAAGGCGGAGGAGAGGGATGGAGGGCGCATCGCGGGCGCTCGCTTCGAGGCGCGTAAGATGGTTGTCCAAGCGAGTGTGTGCGTGTCTAGCGAGTGTGTCACAGTCGAAAGAGAGCGAGTTGGACGAGTCGAGAGAGGGTTTGGGCGCTTGGCGAAAGTTGAGTGAAGACGACGAGTGCGATCGTGGAATGGCTCGATGGCGGCAAGTCCGGGAGAGCGTGCACCGTACTCAGCGAGTCGTGGAGAGCTGGACGAGCTCGTGAAGAAAGTCAGGCGAGAGGGAGGAGACGAAGCCGTGCAGGAGTTGCGAGGGAGCATCCGCTAACGAGGACAAGTGACGACAACTCAGCGCGATGGGTCCACTGCTGCCAGTACAGGAATGCTAGCGACGACTGCAAGCACAGGGAAGTCGAGCGGAGTCCGCCTGCGAAGCGGTCTGAGTGAACAGCAGACTCCTTTTTCTCTGGAACAGCCGCAGTCGTCTCTCCCTCGTCCGCTCTTCGCGCCCCGTGTGAAAGGTGAGATAGAGGTACATGCAAGGAGAAACGAGCGCGCGACAAGGGGCAAGAAGCCCCACTCCGCTTCATCGCGAGGCGAAGACGGGGTGAAAGAAAGGCAGAACACTCCGCGACCCGCCGCGCATCTAGTACCCGCCCCTGCCGCGTCCCCTGGGCGCACCACGTCCTCCCCCGCGTCCGCCTCCTCCAAATCCGCGTCCACCACCAGGCGCACCCCGACCCCTCGGCGCGCCCCTTCCTCGTCCACCTCCAAACCCTCCTCCTCCTCCCCTTCCTCCGAACCCACCCCGTCCTCCCCTCCCTCCCGCTGCGCCACCGCGCTTCTTCGCCTTTGGTCCAGCGGGAGCTTTAGGTTGCGGCAGGAACCGCTCGATAGGGAGGAGCTTGTCGGTTGAGATGCAGACTTTGTCGCCGGCTGTGAAGGAGGTGGCGACGATTCCGGCGGAAGGCTTGATGGTGAAGTAGACTTCGTCTGTGGGTGTCAGGCGGTGGAGGGGGCAGGCGGGAGAGCGTGAGGGCGGAAGTGGAACGGGTTCGGAGGCGGAGAGGGACGGCGATGAACGAGTGCGAGGCGAGGCGAGTGAGGCCGCGGAGATGGCGAAACAGGAGAGAAGGTAGAGCAAACGAGCAGTCAGTACCTACACTGCGAACGAAGGAAAGGGACAGACCACGCACTGATGGGACCCAAGATCTCGTCCACCTTTCCGATCGCGGCCTTGGAAGGCAAGTAGATGGGCGCGTTGAAGTAAGGGACCTGCCGTGCGTCGACTCTCACCGTCAGCGATGGGGAGGAAGCTGGAAGAGGGGAGACGGGACGCACCTTGGAGGGAAGGGTCGACGAGCAGAGCATCTCGCCCTCGACGGCGTGCATAAAGGTGCCGACCTCTGCCACCGCGCAGAAGGGACTCGTCAGCTTGTTGTCACAGAAGAAACAGTCTGGCGAGCGCGAGACGCACCGACAACCTCTGCGGGAGGACCATCGTCGCGACCGCCGCCGAATCCGCCGCGTCCCCCTCCTCGTCCGCCGCGGCCGCCTGCGTGCAAGTGAGAGCTCAAGTTAGCTCTATCGACCGGTCCAGTCTCCTGTGAGAGTAGCGAGGCGTGACAGCGTCTCCCCCCTCCTCCGCTTCAAGCTCATCGCTCGAACGTGAGTGCACGTCCCAGCTCCTCTGCCCGCTCCGGCGTGCTTCTGGCCCATCCGTAGCCCTCCCAGACAGCTGTCACGCCCTTGCCAACCCTTCTCAAGCTGTAGAGAGCGTGCGCGGACTGACCTGCTCCTCCCCTGAATCCACCGCCCCGTCCACCGCGGTCACCTCCTCCCCGTCCACCCCTGAAACCGCCTCGTGAGCTCATGGTCGCTTAGTTTGGGCTGGGAGAACGAGCTAGGGCTCTGTAGGCGAGCCGAGAGCGGGTGAGAGCGTAGGAGAGCGGGCGAGGGGAAAGTTGAGCAGGAGGTGATGGGAAAATCGACAGCGCAGAGGGAAGCTGTCAGGAATTGTCACAGTGCTACTGATACAATCACAGTGTAGTACACTCTGCTCACGCTGCACTCTGCGCCAGTCGAGGCGACCCCCTTCCTCCTCCTCTCGCTCTCTCACTCGCACTTCTCGCTCACCGGCTCAGGAATGGCTCCGTCGTCTGGCATGACACGCTTACAGCACATGCTCAACCCCCCGCACACCCAGCCACAACAACCGGGCGCACCTCCGCCGACAACTCGCTCACAATCGCTCGTCGACGTCGGCCGCTCGCTCAAACAGCTCGTGCAGGACGAATGGGCACGGTCGAGCCATTCTCGTGACGAGGTGCGTCGACTCATCCCACCCAGACAGCCCAGCGCGACGAGCGTGCAAAGACTGACCTCATCGCTCCCCACCTCAACCCCTGCGACAACAGGACCCGCTCCCACCGCCTCTCCGCCCACAGACAGGCTCGTCCCAACGAAGCTCATCCGTCCCATCATCGCGCCGCTCGATCCCAACCGTCTTTGCAGGCTTGAAACCGGCGTACCTCCCACCTTCGCCGCCTCTCTCGCCCGAGACGCCGCAGATGGGGTTTGCGCCGCCGCCTGGGCTGCCTCCGCAGGGGGAGAAGGTCAGAGGGAGTGCGATAGAGACGGAGGATGAGGATGCGGCGATGAGGGTCGCCGTGCAGGCGAGCTTGAGGGACGCGCCGCAGGTTCGTCCGCCTCGCTTCTCCCCCTTGTCTAGCACGCTCAACGTCTCCCGTTCGCAGGCCACTCCTCCGGCCGTACGGGACGAGTTGGAGGAAGCGCTCGCCACATCGAAAGAGGAAGAGGCCGCCCGCCAACAGCGCATCTCGGCACAAGAACAATCCGACCTCGACGCCGCTTTGCTCGCCTCGTCGCAAACTCAACACGCTCGTGCTCCCTCGACCCTCCCATCTCGCACAGCCTACCTCCCCCGCCTCTCCTTCGAATTCGACTCTGACCCGCCTCCCTCCTTCCTCCCAACCGAATCGGCCCCCTCCGCCTATCCAGCCGAGAAATCCCTTCTGTTCCCTCAAGGACGCCCAGCACTCCCGCCTGGTGCTGCGGCGGCGTGGGACGACGAGAGCAGGGAGATGGAGATGCTTGCGCTTGCGATCAGGATGTCGGAGGAGGAGGAGAGAGAGAGGAAGAGGTTGGAGGAGAGGGAGGTCGAGGAGGTTGTGAGGCGGATTGAGGGCGAGAGCGCGAGTGCGGGAGGGTCGACGGACGAAGAGGGGAGCTCGACGGGCCATGAGGGGAGGAAGAAGGGAAGAAGAAGGTCGTGGGTTCAGCCGCCGCTGGCTTCCTCCCTTTCGCGGACTTCTTCGCCGCCTCTTCCGCCGGCCCCTCCTGCACAAGCTCCTCCAAGACCCGCCGCGCCGAAAGAGACGATGTCGGCGACGACGATGGCAAGCTACCGCACCGCGCCCGAGACGCCATTCAGCAACCTCACGCGCATCGGCTCCGCGGAGAGTCAGGCTTCGACGGCCTCGGAAACGCACCCGCCGCCTCCTCGTCGCGCACCTCCTCCCCCTCCCGCACCACAACGACTTCCCCCAACTCCACCCGACACACCTCAAGTTCCGCAATCCTCCACCCTCCCCGCTCCTCCTGCCGTTCCCCCTCGCCCACACCCACCTCCCGGACCCTCGTCCGCCTCTTCTCACCACCTCTCAGTCAGCACCGACTCGACGCGCGACTCGGGCTCGCCACTCGAGATGCCTTACCTCACTCCCTCGAGCTCGTTGCGCAGCTCGAATCGCGCCGAGAGGGAGGCGAGACCTGCGATTGCGGGGTTCTTTGATGAGGTTATTGATGCTGAGGGGGCGGAGCGGGAGAGGAGGGTGAGCGGGTCGACGAGTCGGTCGATTGACGAGGAGGAGGAAGAGGGCTTGACGTCTGCTTTGTCGGTTCGCAACCCCGACTCGCGCCAATCTACTCTGAGCTCAACCACCTCCACCTCGTCCTCCTCGTCTTCCGCCTCCGCCGCTGCGCCAAACCCAGACCCAACCTGGGACCCCTCGGACCTGCCCGTCTTCCCCTCGGCCTCAATGGGCATCTCAGCCTATGCGAACCGCTCAATGTCGGCTATCGACGAGGCGACGGAGCCGGCTTCGAGTATTGGTGGGGGAGGGGAGGAGAGCAGGCAGGGGAGCTTCCCGAGCACGGTTTCGGTTGAGCCGGCCGAGGGAGCGAGGAGTGAGGGGGAGTGGTTGAGGGGTCTGGGGGGAGCAGAAGGCGAAAGGGGAGGAGTGCAAGTGGGAAGGTCGCCTGAACCGACGGCGGGTTCGTCCCTCGACACGCCTGCGACGCCCGTCGCTCCTGCGCCTCCTCGCAGGACAGACTCGGCCACGCCCATCCCGCCCGTCACGCACGCCGACGGCATGCGCTTCGGCTACCCCGCCGAGTGCGCCCACCAACTCGGCCATGTCTGTCCGCAAGACGGCTTGTCGAACCAAGGCGCCGTGCCCGAGGCGATCGAACTCGGCACTTCGGCGTCGTCAGCGGGCGAGAAGCGCGATAGCTGGGCTATCGAGGCGCAGTCGTGGGTTGCGCTGCTGAGGTCGCTCATGTGGTACGGGGACACGACGGTCGTCGCTTCCGCCGCCGACATCGCCGCCAGTGCGACTGCCCGATGCGCGGCGAACGCCTCGCTCGAGTTTCGACCCGACGACGAAGGTCTCCCAGTCGTTCGACTCATCATCTCGCTGGTCCCGCCGCACGAGTCAACTCTCCGACTTGCCGCTCACCGCGAGTTGAGCGTTCAGAAGGCCAACGTCGCCGACTCCTCCGCCAAGGGGAAGGGCAAGGCTCGCGCATCAACCACGGCTCCGCAAATGTCCTTCCACCTCCCCGACGTCCTCCACCTCCCGACGCGCCTCTCCAGTCTCGCGATTCAGCTTTACTCGCTCCGTCACCTCGCCTCTATCGCGCGCGCTACGCAGCCAGCCAAGTCACCTCCGCCTCCGTCGCTCGGCTCGTCGGGCGAAGTGGAGGGTTACGCTGCCCTGCGCGAGTTGGCAGACGCAATCGCGCTCCTCGCCAAGGCTGCGCATGACCGGCACGCGTCTGCACCAGCTTCTTCGACAGGCGCGGAGACGCAGACGAGCGCTCCGCAGACGCCCTCACCGTTCGCTGGAACGTCCACCGCTCCAGGTGGCGCAGGACAACCGCCGATGCTCGGTCGCGCTACTCGCGAGGATCAAGCCGAGCGCCTCATCGACCGATTGCGCGACCGCCTCCGTCGTCTCAAGCGCAGCAGTCCAGCGTCGACTCCATCTGTCCCGCCCACCGCCGACGGGAGCAGCGCAGACTACGACGAAGAGCACGCTCGCCCGAGCTTCACGAGCCGGTTTTCGTCAACCCAGCACGGTTCGACGGGCGCTGATGGGCGAACGCGGCTCGTCAAGCCTCCGCCGCCGTCGAGGGTGACGCAGGTGCCGAGGAGCGAGCGAGTGTTGATTGCGCAGGCGAACGACGAAGTTGCGCGAGCGCCGCCTGAGGTCGAGCAAGGTGGAGCAACTACGCCTCAAGCAGAGCTGGATCGACCGCCCCTTCCGCCGAGGGACACGAGGAGGAGCGAGCAGGCTGGACGGGCGAGGAGCGGGAGCGTGCCGACGGAGATGAGGTACATGCCGGTTCTCGGAGCGCGCTGAGTGCTTGTACATAGCTGTTGTCCCCTCTGCACATTCGTCTATCCTGTATCGCCGGACTTGTAGCCTTATCGCAAAAAGGCCGGTTGTCGACCTTCTCGACTCGACGAGCGCTCTCTCTTCGAAACAGCGATAATCCGCCTGGCTTCAGCATGTGCTACGACTTCCAAGGACCCGCCGCTGCCTTTGCCCTCGCCTTCTCCTCCTTAACCCATTCCCAGAACTCGTAGTCGAGGTCGCTTCGGTCGCCCACCGAGTTTCGCAGCAGCGTCACTCCATGATGCTTGCACAGCGTCAAGATGTGCGTGGTGCACGCCTTAGGGAAGGCCGCCAAGTACGTTGGAATCGAGAACGTGACGAGGTTCGGGAAGTGCGCCATCTTCTGCCTGAGCTCTTCGAACGACTTCGCTTCCTGGCCCGTTGCCAACATGGTGCCGCGCATATGGCGAATGCCGGGATATGTTTGGTCGACAAGATGAGCAGTTGCCTCCGACTCGGCGAGCCCGTCGCCGAGGATATCAGGACGTCGAGAATACGCGACGTCTCGGTCGGTCAATGTGCTGACGGTGACTTCGAGCTGGAGGTAGGTGCAAGAGCCAATGCGAGACTCTTCCGCTTCCGGGGAGTACAGGAGCTGGAGGGTGTCGAGTTGCTCGAGGAACGCGCGGTCGAAGCCGAGATAGTCGAAAGACGGCCAGAGAGACCAGATCTCGGCGAAGTAGGCGGCTCGAAGCGACGGAAGGCGCGCTGGGGTGAACCCGCTGACTTCGATCGCGGTTGACGAGTTGACGGCGAGGACGACGAGCGAGGCGAAGCTCCAAGGGCCGGCGGGAGCGCAAATCCGTAAAGCCGTGTCGCTGCCGACGGAAAGTCGTGCGAGTTCTGCGAGGCAGTGTGGTCAGCGCTGGAACACTGCAGAAGCCGTCGAGAGGTGGCTCACTATCAAGCGAGGCGAAGGGCAGCAGAGGCACGACTCCGGTCGCGTTCGAGTAGAGCCTCACGTCCACCGCCTCGAGCTGCTTCAGCTTCACAGCTGCCGCTTCGAGCAGCTCGTACGGAATCACGTTGTCCTCGACATCTCCCTCCCACTCTCCCGCAAATACCAACCGCCTGACCTGCTCCGCCTCCTTGTCCGCCAAGTCCTGCAAGGCCGCGCAATCGTCCTCCGACTCGACCTTGACGACGCCTCGATACAGCAGTTCCTTCGCTAGTCGCTCCCACCGTCGACACACTGTGAAACAAGCGAAGAAGGCGCGGTCCCAGTAGCCGCTGAGAGGCGCGCGGTGCGAGTCGAGGATGTGGCTGACGAGCTCGTCCGGCAAGCGGTCGAAAGGAGTCATGCTGGTGCGTACGATGCGGGAGAAAGAGAGCATGGCGGACAGATTGCGAGAGACGCAAGGGAAGATGGGACGATTCTTGGAGGAGGTGCGTGCGCAGGCGGATTGTCCGTTACCAAGGGGATCGATCCGCGGAGGCGGCAGGCCGCGAACGAGCGAAAGAGGACGTCAGCGCGAAGCGAGACGAGCGAGGAGATTCTCCTGCTGGCAGAGAGCGAATTGCTGAGCAAGAGTCTCGCGAGGAGCGAGACTGTGGTCGAAAGCCCTGCGCACCTGTTGCAGTCTAAAACTTTGACTTCCTGCGCTCCTCCTTCGCCCACTCCCAGAACTCGTAGTCGAGATCCGACCTGTCGCTCACCGAGTTTCGCAGGAGCGTGATCCCTCGAGCCGCGCAGACCTCCTCTATTCCTGCCAGAGCAGAAGGAGCCAGATCCTCGAAATACAACGGCACGGATATCGTGGCGAGGTTCGGGAACTGCGCCAGTTTGAGCTCGGTGGCCTCGAGGCGGCTCAGCTCGCCGCCCACGTGCATCGAGGAGCGTAGGTGGCGGATGCCGGGATAGACGAGGTCGACCACGCAGTTGGCTGTCGCCTCACCATGCTCGACGCATGTGGACGTCGGGTAGATGTACGTGACGTCCGGGTCTAGCGCCTGGGTCGCCGGGTGTTCGAGCTGGAGGTAGGTGCAAGCGCCGATCTGAGAGTCTTCTGCGTCGGGGGAGTAGAGGAGCTGGAGGGTGTCGAGTTGCTCGAGGAGGGCGCGGTCGAAGCCGAGGTAGTCAAACGAGAGTTCGGCGGCGAAGATCTCCGCAAAGTAGGCGGCCTTGAGCGACGGAAGGCGGGCCGGGGTCAGCTCGCCGACTTCGACCGCGGTCGGCGCGTTGACGACGAGGACGACGAGAGAGGCGAACGTCCAGCGTGCCGACGTCAAGACGAGGTCGTACGCCATGTCGCTGCCGAGGTAGAGTCGTGCGAGCCCTGCGGGGGCGTCGTCAGCGTTACCGCCAATAAAAAGGGCTGAGAGGGGCCGCGACTCACGAGAGAGGGAGCAAAAGGGAACGACAGGCATGATACCGACCGACTCCGACTTGATCCTCAGTTCCACCGCATCCAGCTGCTGCAGCCGCCTCGCAACTGCCTCGAGGACCTCGTACGGGAACACAGCAGCTCCCTCCTCTCCCTCCCAGTCTCCTGCAACTACCAGTCTCTTGACCCGCTTCACCTTCTCGCCTGGCAAGTCCTGCAACCTCGCGCAATCCTCCTCCGACTCGACTCTGACGACACCTCGATACAGCAGCGCACGCGCGAGTCGTTCCCACCGTCGGGATACCGTAAAGCACTCGAAGAAGGCGCAGTCCCAGTAACCGCTTAGAGGCGAGCGGTACGAATCGAGGATGTGGCTGAGGAGCTCGTCGGGCAGCCTGTCGAAGGGGCTCATGCTGATAGCGTGGTCGTGAAGGGGCGCAGATGTGAGGAAAGAGGACGCGCGGGCGACGAGGAGCGAGAATGGGTGCGTGCGCCGCGGCTTGTCCGAGTCGAACGGCTTCAGCAGCCAAATCAGCGCTGTGTGCCAAGTCAACTCGTAGAATGGCAGGCTGGGAGAAAGCGAAGCCCGGCCGTGCGCGAATTCGCCTGCCTCGTCTTCCCGTCTTCAACCTCCCTCTTCGCGCCAAGTCGCCAGGAAACCCTCTAAGAATACAGGAAACGAAATGCGCACGTCTAAAGCCACTCAACAGTGCCTGGAGGCTGTGGGAGAAGCAGGAGAGCGTGAGCGAAAGCGAAAAGTCCGAGAAGAGCGGGAGGAGCGCACCTTCGAAGTAATGTCCATGACCACCCGGTTCTGCGCACGCGGCGATAGTAGCGTCGCCAAGACGTGCAGCAGAGCGCAAGAGCGTGCAAGAAGAAGGATTCGGACGAGTCGAAAGGAAGGCGAAGTCTCGTCAGCAACCGCTTCGGCCGCCTCTTTGCAAAGGGGGAACCGCCAACGCACCACACCCTGCACCTCGTTCGTGATGCGGTTCGACATTTTCCGCAAGATGGCAGGCGGGAAGTCGAACCAGTCGGCCGTCATGAAGTCCTCGGTCTTGACGGCGCGCAAGCAGATGACCTGCTCGTACGTGCGGCGGTCGCCCTGGACGCCGACGGCGCGGACAGGCAAGAGCGCGCAGAAGGCCTGGCTGATCTGGTCGTACAGGCCGGCCTTGCGGATCTCGTCGATGAAGATGTAGTCGGCCTGCTGCGCGATGCGGACCTGCTCGCGCGTGACTTCGCCGAGGATGCGGATGGCGAGGCCGGGACCGGGGAAGGGGTGGCGGCCGACGAGGTGTTCGGGGATCTTGAGGAGACGACCGAGCGCGCGAACCTCGTCTGCGGATGTAGAGCGTCAGTGATGGCACCGTCTCGGTCGACGAGCGCACTCACCCTTGAAGAGCTCGCGCAAGGGCTCGATGAGCTTGAGCTTCATGTCGTCGAGGAGACCGCCGACGTTGTGGTGCGTCTTGATGGTCGCACTCGGTCCCTTGAAGCTGATGCTCTCGATGACATCCGGGTAGAGCGTTCCCTGGAGGAGCCACTCGATCTCGCCGTAGTCGCCGCCCGCCTCCTTGACCTGCTTGTCGATCTCGGCCGCCTTCTCCTCAAAGACCTCGATGAAGGTGTTGCCGATGATCTTGCGCTTCTGCTCCGGGTCGGTGACGCCCTTGAGCTTGCCGAGGAAGAGGTCGGACGCGTCGACGACGGTGAGGTTGACGCCGAGGTCCTCGCAGAGCATCTTGTGGACCTGCTGCGCCTCGTTCAGCCGCAAGACGCCGTTGTCGACCATGATGGCGTGGAACCTGTCGAGGTGTGCCAAGTTAGCGAGACCTCGTCGTTGACTGTGCGGGTTCGTACCCACCGGTCGCCGATGGCCTCGTGCATGAGCTTGGCCGCGACGGACGAGTCGACACCACCGCTGACGGCGCCGATAACCTGTCCCTTCGGTCCGACGAGCTGTCGGATGCGCTCAATCTCCTTGTCGATGAAGGATTCCTGTCGGCGAGAGTGTGGGCGCGAGAACGTTGAAGAGAGAGTGCGGGCGGGCTCACCATGGTCCACCCTTGCTCGCAACCGCAGATGTTGATGACGAACCGCCGGAGGACGTCCTTGCCGCGCAGCGAGTGGGTAACCTCGGGGTGGAACTGGATGCCGTAGATGGGCTTCTCGTTGTGCGCAATCGCCGCGAAAGGCGCCGACTCGGTCGTCGCGACGGTCGTAAAGTGCTCGGGAAGGGAGTGGAGACGGTCCGAGTGGGACATCCAGACGGGCGACTCGGCGGGGAGGCCCTCGAAGAGCTTGTTGAGGTGGGCAGGCGCCTCGGGAGGCTGGACGAGGACCTTGATGATGGCCTCGCCGTACTCGCGGTGGTCGGACGCCTCGACGCGAGCGCCAAAGTGGTTGGCCGTCTCCTGCGGGGGTGCGAGCGGGTTAGCGCCCGGGTATGCCGCATGACGACGCCTCGACTCGCCTGGAGACCGTAGCAGATGCCGAGAACGGGAACGCCAGCGTCGTAAACGGCCGGGTCAACGCGAGGAGCGTCCTTCTCGTAGACCGAGAACGGCGAGCCCGAGAGGATGATGCCTGCGTGGGTAGCTCCGAGTGAGCATTGATCGAGCTACGAAGCGACTGGAGCGCACCCTTGGGCTTCCACTTGAGGTCGGCGAGCTTCTGAGTGCAGGGGAGCATCTCGCAGTAGACGTTGAATTCGCGGCATCGCCTGACGATCAAGTGCGAGTACTGCGAGCCTGTGATAGAGCTGTCAGCACGCTCCTGCGCGTCGCACTGAGCCCGTTGCGCGCACCAAAGTCGAGGATGAGGATCGAGTCGAAGCTCTGGACGATCGAGTCTGCGAGCTGCGCGGGCGCGGGTTCCTGTCCAGCGGGGGGTGCGATGGCAGCCATCTCGAGCAGTACAAGCGTGCAAGCGGGCGCACGAGCAGCGGGGCAGCGGTGCCCAAGACGGAGAGAGAGTCGCGCTCGTCCAAGCTGGCCAAGTCCCGGACAGGGGCTCATCAGCGTCGGGTTGCTCTTTGAGAGGACGGTGTCGTGCTCGCCGTAAGGCATCGTAGGACTTGTCTTTGCCGGTACAGTGCTTGAACAACGCTGGCGAGAGTATCGCTCCTTCGAAATGTCCCAGGACGGCCTGTCCTCGACGCTTGCGACCTCCCTCTCGCTCGCAGTGTTGACTCTTCTGCCGAGGTCAGGGATTGTGATTTTACAGCTCGCAGCCTTCAGCAAGCCTCTGTTCTGGCTGTAGGACAGCTGCAGGCCTTCAAATAGAACAAAGTACGCCGTTGAGAGGAGGCGAGGGCCGCTTGGGAAGGCCTTGCCGATGTAACGTGCAGGACCTGCAGAGCATACTTGGCTTGAGATGCGCATCTTGGCCATTCAGAGCTGTGAAGATTGCTGGGAAGGACACAGGATGAAGGCCAATATGTGCTTGAAGGGGAAGACAGCGGGTGCTTGCCCGTCGAGCCGCCAATCCTCACGTCTGGACTCTCTGGAGTCGTCAACGCACGCCATGTTGTGTATCGCCTTACACAATCAGCTGCTTGTGTACTGTGGTGTGCAGACTTTGCTGTCACAGATACCAGCGGTTTAGCCGGGCTTGCGATGCAAAAGTGGTCTGCCTCCCTCTCAGGAAAGCAACGCAAATGCGGCAAAAGATAGTGATCCAGCCGGGATTCGAACCCGAATCGAACCCTCACATACACAATGTATATAGGAGGGGCTCATGTTACGCACAGAAGTCGAGGAGATCGAGACGAAGCTCTGGACCATGGGGTCTGCCAGCCAGCACCACGGAGCATGTCTGAGCATCTGTGCTGCCGCAAAATGCTCTACAAACATCCAATTGCCCAAGTGCCCCAGCACAGCTCCCCACCTCCATTGACAAAGAAACTCCCTGCAACCATCCCTCGAGCGCGCGCGGACCGGCCGAACATCTGTATACCATTGACAAGCCCTTCTTGACAACAGGCAGAGCAAGGCAGGCATCACAGCACTGGACTCGCCCACTTTCCTCAGCTTCGCCGGATCGCAACCACTTGGCGTAGAGCCTCGACCGCCCCGGCACGCTCTTTCGCGACTTTGAAAGCAACGCGGGCGACAGCGAACATGCGGGTGTCAATGACCTGGGTTACTGGAGCAATTCTCTGCGCTCGACAGACTACTGCGAGGAGGAGGAGGAGGAGGACACGACGGAGGAGGAGCAGGAGCAGGAGCAGGAGCAGGAGCAGGAGAAGGCTAAACTTGGCCAGCGTGATGAGGGCAGCACCAGCACTCCGCCTGAGGTCGCAGGTCAGAAGACCATGAGGCCAGAGATGGTGGACTTGTCAAGCTACAAGTTTGATCGCAACGTGAGCGCACGACGCCTCTTTCCTTCAGAGGCATACTCACACTGCTGTTGCAACAGGATCTCACCCTTCGCCTCTCTTTCAAGACGCTCCTCGGCCTGTCCGATACCAGCCCTCCCCTCGAAGCCTATCTCTCCGCCGACGACATCGACCGGGACAAACGTCCTCACAAGGCGTATGCGTGCACGCGCTCGCATGGACCGGGTGTTTTGCTTGGGTCAAGGCTAGAGGAAAACCGTCTGCTTTCCCAAGTGCAAGGACCTCATCTTCAGGTGCCGGTGAGCTGCGACCTGCTCTTGTCGTCACCGCGCTGCTGACAGCTTCTCGAGCAGAACTCGCCCCTTCCACCCATCGCCTGCTTCCACCTTCCCCTCTTCCGCCACGTCGGGAATTTCATCTGGTCCGTCTACACCAAGACTGAGTTCTTCCGAGACTTCCTCTTTACGCACGAACTTGTCGAATGGGCTGGGTGGTATGTTGAGCCACGTCTCCCACACTCAATGCACGCTGAGCCCGTCCCTTCTTCAGTGGATACGCCGGTACGATCGTCATCCAAGACAAGAACATCAAGCCGGTGTCTGAGATGGTTGCGGCTGCGAACGCGTTCTACAAGGTGTGTCGACTCCACAAACCTCCGTCAACCGTGTGCTGAGTGTCAGTCTGTGCAGCATCTCTGCCCCGACCTGACAGCCGATCCTCTTCGCCTCGCTGTTGTCAAGACGCATGGTCCCAGCCAGGTTCATTCTAAGCTGTTCCGGGCCTTGAGCCGCGACAAGACGACCCTCGTGGAGACGAAAGGGGCGGCAACCCTTCCACACAAGGCTACGGACGAGGGATGCAGGTTGGCGGCCTCACTAGCCGGACCCTCTCCGTCGAAGACCTCTCTGTCTCCTTCATTCCGATCGTGGCAGACAACTTCGTCAAGTGCGCCGCGGATTGGGATACTTCGATGAACGCCCTCGTGGAAGAGGGAAGCGTCCATCGGTTCTTCGCCGACCTCGACTCGTTGGACGTCTTGTGGGTGATGGACAAGGACGTTTTCCCGGTACGTCCCGCTCACAGTTCAGTAAGAGAGTTGTGCTAACATGATCCGCGACCGCAGGCACCTACGCCAGTTCCGCCCGAGACGCCGCCCTCGAGACGCTTCGTTCCAGCGCTCCCAAAGGAGGCTCCTCCGGTTCGCAAGAGGCGACGCGCTGCACTGACAAAGGAGCAGCTGGAGAAGATGGCCGCCGGGCAACGCAAGGTATGTTTGGCCACCTCCTCGCTTTCCCGCTTTGGACGAAGATGTTGACGGTTCCATACGTAGAGCCACATCGCACAACGTGGCAGGATAGCCGCTTGATTCGCAGCGCAGCTCACCTCGCCCAATGGCTGGCCGGTGCGTCTTGCAGTCAATGTCTCGTACATTGCGCTGAGGAAGTGCCTTGCAGACGTTTCTGCGGGCTGGCGGGAGGAACGCTCCGCGAGATTTGGAATTGGTGCTGAAGGACCTTTCTCGGTCGCGAGTGCTGAAGGGCGTTGTCGGGGTCTCGCGGGGCGACGTTGCGCGCGTCTGCCCCGACACCTGCGCCCGGACAGGCGTTCTCGGGTACGCTCCGCAGTCTCGTGAGTCGCTTACTGACTTCATCCGTCGCTCGTGCTCGACTACGGCTGGCAAGACGGCGGCCAAAACCGGCTACTCCATCCACGTCGACTTCCCCGACCCGTCCAAACCCCACTTCATGGTCCTCGTCAAGCACGATCTCCGAGGCATCATGACGACCCTCTCGGGCAACGCTGTCACGCTCGAGGATGGCAAGCGTCACGGGCGATAGGAGTTCGAGGCCAGACGGATCTCCTGGATGAAGGCGAAGGGTGCCGGCGAGGCTGCCACGGCAACAGCGCCCCGTCTCCAACGGACCCATCATCCCCTCGATCAACCGCCAACATTTGACGACGCGGGACGAAGGCAGCTGCTCCTCTTGGGGCTGTTCGATTGGAGGGTCGCCCATGGGCTGTGGTCGGCAGAAGACTCGGACAAGGCGGAGGCGCTCGAGGCCGAGGACACAGGCGAGGGACACATCTCGGCTACCGGGGATGGTGCAAGAGTGTCGCAGAGGCAGGGACCGGGATCAGGAGGCAGGATTGCTCGGAAGGAAGGCGAGGGTTACGGGAAGGCACGCAAGACCGGCCGTGCATCTGGACTCTTCTACCTCATTCCCTAGCCCACTCGCTGACTTGCTTGAACAGCACCCCTCACGCTTGAGCTCCTCGCCTCCTCGACCGCCAAGCAGATCGTCGCCGTCCACACTCACAAGCAGCTGGCAGCGTTTAGGTCGAGCGTCCCGGGCTGGAAGAAGACTGCCGTCCGTCTAAGCGGCACTCCGACAGCGGCAGAGTCGATCCAATTCCCGCCTAACCAGATCATCACATTGGCGGAGCAGACGGTGAGTTCATTCCTCCTCCATCGCGTTTGCCTGACCTCACATCTTTGGTCTCCATAGATACGAGACGCGCGACAAGAACTGAAGAAGCGCGCCAATGCCTAGGATCCTCGCCAGCGAGTCCCGCATTCTCGCCTTCGACTCCTGCGCGCTGTGCCAGTAACTGACCTTGCCATTCGCAGACACTCGCCACTTCCGTCGCTCATTCTTCACCCGTACTCGTCGTATCTTTCATCTGTCCAGTCACAACGGTCCTCGACGAATCCTGCGCGCTGCGAATCTACCATCTCCTGCGTCGGGATGTGTGCGAGAGCGTGTTCGAGAGCATATTGGTTTGCCAGAGGCTTGGAATAGAGGTCAGGAGGAAGTGGGGCTCAAGGTGCAGGCAGAGCGTGCTGCAAAGGAGAAAGGATAAGCTAGCGAGGAGAAGCGAGTAGCCGAGAAGGCGGCGGAGTGAGCGATGTTGTCCTCTGCGGGCGGGAATGGGAGTGTCACTTTGCAAGAATATATGCAGCGGCCGTCGAGCTCCACAGCGAGGCGTCCCCTTGACGCCGGAAGGCTGCCCCCTCTGTCGATGCGACCTTGCTCTGGGACGAACACCTTCAAGTCTTGCTTTGAGTGCGGCCAGGCAGTTCAGTCGACGGTACATCTTCCAACTGTGCTGGGAGGCTGGTTCCCATGCTATCATTCGACGCGCGCACCTTGACAGGCTTGGTTTTCTCATCGCCTCTTCACCTCGTCTCACGCCTGCTCGACATGACTCACTGCCCCGTCTCTACCCGGTGCCTCGGCTTCTCAGTTGCAATGGAGAAAGCCGGGCCTCTCGACAGTCTCCCTCTCGAGATCTGCGAGAAGATTTTCGGACGACTCTCCCGTCGCGACCGGCTCAACCTGTCTTCAATGTGCCGCCAGATGAGGGCACTGTTCAACTGTTGCCGCCACCCAATGCTCATCAGCGACCTCACTGTACGCGAGGCGTTCTCGTACGGGACTTTGTGGCAGCGTCTCGAGCACATTTTTCACTCGCCAAACGAGATCGAACAGTTCAAGCGCCTCAGGAGCTTTGTCAAGGTGCATATTCCGTTCCTGTTTCGTTGACTGGACCAGCTCACGGGGTTTGCGGCATAGGCAGCGCAGGTCACATACGGCCTCGTTCTGGACTGCTCTACTCCGGCTTGTGCTCCCTAAGGTCCGTCAGGTTCACCACGAACAGGAAGCTATTACGTGCCAACTATTGCTCCCACAGCTCGATTCCTTCCGGTCTAGTATCGACACCGCACACGCACGCCTTTTCATCGCCTGCCTCGAGGAGGATGATCCCGACGTAATGAGCCTTGTCAATGTCTTGCGCTTAATTGACGTCTGCACTCTCGGCGCAAGCAAGGACGAGCAGTTAGCGGAGCTGTACATCCTGCGGATTTAGACTCGTTTGGCGTTCCCCACTGATGGACTCTTGTGGACCCGAGCAGGCATCGACTCGCATCACAGGCGTCGCCGGGTGCCTTGCAGTGGCTTAAACGGATCGCCACTCGCGCTGATGAGCCGCTCACCTGCGTCCCCTTGATGACAGGCTTACTCATCTGCGCAGTCATGATCCCAGGCCGGACACCGCCGTCCATCTTGAAGCAATTCCACCCTGGCGCTGCAAATCAATACCTTGTCTGCGCTGACCTGCGCGTCATCGACAAGATGATCCACGAGCGTCTCGCGAACGGAGTTTTCCCGTCCAAGGTGCGTTCACCTGAATCCTCCACTACCTCATGGTTCTCCACCGTTAATATCCAGTCTATCCAGACATTCCCCGTCAGCGTTGGAGATTGTGTCTGCCTCGCTCAGCCTCGATGGGTGGCTTCGACCGCTTCCGCCGTCCGCATCATGGATGGGTACGCCAACGACTGCCTCAAGTTTGGGTTTGCAGACCACAAGGAGCAGGACTGGTTCCTGGTTGAGAAATTGCTGTGCAGATGACGTGCGCAGCTGCATGTGCGCGGCGACTCTGCCTTTTTCTTCGTTCGGTGCGTCCCCTCCTGCCCCAGCATCTTGCTTACACTCGGCTGATTGGGCCCTGACCAGCTGCGACAGCGAGTCTCTACGGTACGACATCCCAACACCGATACCATGTCCAAGCACAATTCGCAGCTGTGTGTCGCCCGCTGTCGAGGAGTGAGTCTACGGAAGAATTCCTTCTGCAGACCCCTGGCTGATATGCCTTGGACCCGCAGGATCATTCTCGACGGCGTGATCAAGCTGGGAGATGCTACTTCCCAGACGTCTATCCCGGCTGCCTTTACCTGTGCGACGCCTTTCCTCACAGTCTGCGCCTCTCTCCCTGACTTGCGCTGATTGCGGACCCGTCAATGCAGTCACGACATTTGACATCCTCTCCCTCAAAACACACGGCTGCGCCGCTGTATCCCTTGTCGACTACTCGCTCGCGGCACGAAAGCGGGTTCTCTCGGACTGGCGTGTCATCTCTCCGCGCGAAGGCGACCTTGAGATCCACGGCTACAACATCAAGCAGTCACTATCATTGGTGCAGGCCTTGCTGCAGAGGGAACTCGACAAGGGGTGAGTCTGGCTCGTCTGCGGTCAAGTTAAAGGACAGGCCTGACTCTTAACCGATGCGCAGCGGCGTCGGTATCATCCTCAAGTCTGGTCGAGTGAAATACCTTCTTGGCAACCAACAGCAGGCGGTCTGGCTCAGGCTAGACGGCCGTTCCTTGTAAAGTAACCCACTCTCTTCAAGCCCGGGCTGGGTTCGCGTTTTGGCGTCCGTTTAAACGCAATCATTTGTTTGCTGGCTTGTGTAGTTGATTAGCTGCTGAGTGGGGAGGACACAGGACGTAGGCCGGTACTTGAAGGGGAAGACAGCGGGTGCTTGCCGTCGAGCCGCCAATCCTCACGTCTGGACTCTCTGGAGTCGTCAACGCACGCCATGTTGTGTATCGCCTTACACAATCAGCTGCTTGTGTACTGTGGTGTGCAGACTTTGCTGTCACAGATACCAGCGGTTTAGCCGGGCTTGCAATGCAAAAGTGGTCTGCCTCCCTCTCAGGAAAGCAACGCAAATGCGGCAAAAGATAGTGATCCAGCCGGGATTCGAACCCGAATCGAACCCTCACATATGCAATGTATATAGGAGGGGCTCATGCTACCCTTACACCACTAGACCCGATTTTTTGTGTTGTCGTCCCCCCCTCAGCCAATATAACCTATCAACAGATCTCAGCCTCGCGGGACTTGGCAAAAGCTGAAACAGAGGCAATGGATGGTCCAGCCCATGGCTGATGTGACCCAGCCATGTTCTGTGATGTCTGAATGAAGAGAATGAGAGTATAGGCCTTTGGTTGGGGTTCAGGGCGGTTGCAGGTCCTCCCCAGCTTCTTGTGGGCTCCTTAGAGCTACTGTAGACTCACCTTGGTGGACGCAATCTGCACAGATACCTGGGCACAAGAGTGCTTGTTAGTGCGGAAGAAGTTGATCCGACGAGGAGGTGAGCGGGCGAGAAACGGGATACAGAAGTGCGGACGCAAGCGGACGAGCCGGGTGTGCTGTTATGAGTGACAAGCGAGGAAAAGCGAGGCACTTGAGCAGCTCTGAAGTGAGCCGAGCGGGACGATAGGAAGTGCCGGAGGAGAAGAAGCAACGCGAACGATGAGAGCGAACGTGTCGCATACCTGCCCAGCTGAAGAGGTGTGCACTTGAGGAGGCAATCTTCAAAGAAAGCACTCGCAGCGCAGTCGAGCGTCGGTGAAAGCGAGCCTCGAGAGCAGCTTCTCCTGCTCAGAAACCCCCAACCCATCGTGAACCGAGATCGATAGCGCGTTTTCACTGCCGCTCCTTCCTCGTCACTGCCGTCTAGACACCGCCGAACCATACCCAACTCCGCTCGCGCGACCTTACTTGAGGGCGGCGAAGATCTTGGGCGCGGCCTGCGAGAGGGCTGGAAGTCAGCGATGCGCGAGGACAAGGGGAGGGAGATGCGGACGTACACACTCGTCGACGCAGTGCATGTAGTGGACTGTTGGAGGAAGGAGAGTCAGCCAAAGCACCACGGCGAGATCAGGGGAGGAGGGCAAGCCGAGACCGGCTTCCCAAGCGACGCTCAGCCACCAACCCTCGGGCACGCCGACTCACAGAGCTCCTCGACGCAAGTCTCGTTGGGCACGATGGTCTTGCCCGCCGCCAAGCGCTCGCCGCACTCCTCGAGGTGGTGCTTGAACTCCTTGCAGACCTTGGTGTTGCCGCATGCTGTGGGCAGACTCGAGAGTGTGTCAGCACCGAGTCTACGGCTTGAGACCCCCTCACAGCCGCCCGCCGCCGCGACGGAGAGTTCAGGGAGGCGATGAAGACGCACCCTCCCGGATCGCCTCTGCTTGCTGTGAGGAGCGAACGAGAGCGTCAGCCTGCGTTTGACAGTACAGAAGCCACGGCAGTAGCGCCGCCAGCCCCGCCAGCCCAAGCGAAAGCGCCGCGCCCCGGCACCCGCCTCGATGGTGCTTGCCGACGAGACGAAGCGAGCGAGAGAACAGTCGGACGCACGTCCTCGGGGTCCTCCTCGTCCTCCGACTCCTCCTGGGCCTGCTGCTGCCTCTCGCCGAGCTCGTCCTTGTGCTGCTGGGCCTCTTCGGGGTCCGAGATGGTCGAGGTTGAAGTGTCCGACTGGGTCGCCTGCGACTCGCCCGCGTGGACGCCTGCCTGCGACTCCATGCGGAGGTCTGACGGGAAGAACGACTCGAACAGGCTGGACAGCATCGTAGGCGGGTGAGCGTGTGTAGCAGGAGTGGTCAAGCGAGCGAGCGGATTCGCCCAAGTCCACCTTGCACCCGTTCACATCGCTCGACAGCAGCTTGGTGAGCGCGAGCGACGCCAGAATGGACTCGCTGTTCCCGCAAGACTCGTATGGGACTCGCCCCGTGCTCGTACTCGGTCCGCTCGCCCTCTCGCCCTCCTCCGCTCACTCGTCTTGGCTCACCTGGCTTGAATTCTCCTGCTCGCATGATCGGGTTCTCGTGCGACAGACGGCGGAATGGGAACGACACTGCAGGCACCTCCCTTCGAACTGGGATTGGACTCGGCGCTGTGGTCGAGCGAACTCCTCGCGACAGAGGACGGTCGCGCACAGCTCGAACGGCTCCACAAGACCTGGCTCGAAGCGGGTGCAGACATCGTCGAGACGTGCACGTGAGTCGGGCGATTCCTAAGATTGCAGCGGACGAAGACGCACTAGGTTGACCTCCTCCGCCGCGCAGATACCAATCCTCCCTGCCGCTCTTCCTCCCCGCCTCGCCTTCTCCCGCCGACAAGTCGACCGCCCTATCAACCATGAACGCAGCCCTCCCGCTCGCCGTCTCATGCTGCTCCTCGCACACCTCCTCGTCCTCCCGCAAGCCTACGACCGCCCTCTCGCTCGGCCCGTACGGCTCGGCGCTCCAGCCCGGCCAGGAATACAGCGGTGCATACCCGCCTCCTTTCGGACCCGCAGAGACCGCCGCCAAGGATGCCAAACCCGCGTGCTCGCAGGAGGCGCTCGACCTCGTTCCTCTCCCTCTCGACGAGGTCCGCGCTGGTCTCGCTTCGACTGCGAGCGACGAGGAAGTCCACCTCGCGGCTTGGCACCTCCAGCGCCTGCAGCATTTCTCTCAGTCGCCCGCCTTCGACGCCGGCATTCCCCTCCTCGCATTCGAGACCGTCCCCTCTCTCACCGAGATCCTCGCCATTCGCCGCGCGATGCACGTCTTCTCAACCTCTTCCATTCGTTCCAACTCGCCCAAAAAGACGTTCTACATCTCCCTCGTCTTCCCCCGTATCAATGAAGGCACATCCGCCGAGACAGTCCGATTCCCCGACCCTTCGCTTGCCCACCTCTCTTCGCTGGCGGACCAAGCGCCTCTGCTCGTCCGTGCCGCACTCGAGCCGCGCGAAGGGTACGCAACGCCTGTCGGGCTCGGCTTCAACTGCACGAGCCCACTGCACGCCTCGTTCGTCGTCGAGGCACTCTCGTCCGCCATCGCCTCCTCCGCATCGATCTCGCAGGCGCAGACGGAGCCGTGGCTCGTCTTCTACCCCGACGGCGGAGCGATCTACGACGTCCAAACGCGGACGTGGCAGCACCCCGCTGGGCTGACGGACGACGCGTGGGCTTCGCTCGTAGCGAATGCTGTGAAGGTTGGAAGGGAGGCGCGTGAGGGAGAGGTTTGGGGCGGTGTGGTCGTTGGTGGGTGCTGCAAGGCGGGACCGGGGGCGATCAGAGCGCTGAAGAAGGAGGTTGTGAGGCGGGGTTGGGCGAAGGAGTGAGCGAGGGGCGCGTCGAGAAGGAGCGTCGCTGATAGACTGTTACAAATACTTGCATTAGACGCGCGACGTAATAGAATCAGACTCGGACAGCCAGACTTCTCACGCACCTCCCGCCCTGCTGCTCGAGTCCTCCTAAAACCCCCTAATATACCCGCTTCTTCCGCGACGCCCGTCCCATCTCCCCTCTCTTTCACGCTCATCCACCCGTCCTCCCTCACGCTCCAGCCAAACGCGCCTGCACAACCTCAACGGCCTTCCTCCACCCCTCCATATCCAGCTCCTCGCATTCCTGGATCCGCTCGGCTTTCAGGACGATGAAAGGGTCGATGGAAGGGGGTGTGGAGGATGAAGCGAGCGGGATAGCGAGGTCGGGGACGGGAAGGGGGTCCTGGGACAAGGAGGAGGACGATGTCAGCTGCACCTCGCATCATGGTGGAACGTCGAGACCCACAGAGAGCGCAACCATCTCTCCAGTGACCATCAATCTGTCCTTTAGTCTCGGCGGGGGAGCCTCGCCGTGCAACACAGCGAGCGAGAGATCAACCAACACGGCGCTCGACCCGTCTGCGAGGAGCGCGAGCGATTGCGAGGGAAGGAGACCGACTACCCTGTGTGTAGTCCCAGGGGCTGTCAGCTTCGCGCGAGCTTGGAGAGGATGGGAGACGGGAGGGACGAACCGGCCGACGACGCGAACTCGAGGAGAGGTGGTTGCGTGAGCAGCTGGGAGCGAGTCGAGCAAGCACAGGCGAGCTGGTTGAGTAGGATAGCCAGACGGCGGCATCGACGCGTGGGAAGTGAGCGGACGCTGAGGAGAGAGGAAGATGTCAAACGGCGAGGTTGGCATCGAACGAAGGTCTCCGTTGTCGCTGGGGATAACTTCAGCTGGGTTGGTCTACGAGTTCAAGAAGCTGCGCTAACAGGCGACTCACTCGAGAAAGAGAAAGCGGTCAAGCTCCTCCTTCTCCTCTCGAGGTCAATCTGCGAATGCTGCTGCGATTGCGAGGGTTCGTAAAAGTCATAACGAGCGAGCGATAGCGGAATACAAAACGAGTGATAGAAGTCTAGTGAAGCGTGCGAGATTCGTGAGAAAGTCGTCTTCGCCGCCGGCGAAAGAACAGGTCAGAGGCGCACAGCGCATCCGCATCCTCCTCCTCCACCCTCCGAGAATGATTGCCGTGCCATCACATGAAAAAGACCTCACCCGCCCCCTTTGCGGTACTGCTCCCTTCCCCCAACAACTTTGCCAAACTCCCACCCGTCGCAGTCGACGGCCTACTTCCCTCCCTCTCGGCCTTCTCGGGCTCGGGCGGCCCACCAGCACCGGGCTTGACGGGCACAGGACGGACGACCGACTCCACCCGCCCGGAGCGCATGAAGGAGAGAGCCTCGGCGGCGTCAAAGTCTGATTCGGGCGAGGGATCGGGCGAGGGTTGCTGCTGCCGTGAGGCGGATTTCGGAGGCGAGCTTGACAAAGCTCGAGGACGAGTCGAAGGATGAGGGACGTTCCGCAGAGGCGGGAGGACAGGCGGAGGTGATACAGGTCGTAGAGGAGGCGGATACATATGTACGTGTGCGTGTGCGTGTGCGTGTGCGTGCGGGTGCGCGGGGTATGCGTTCGTGCGTGTCGGATCGAGCGGGCGAGGCGGAGCGGGGGTCGTGAATGCGAATGGTCGAGGGTGGGTGTTCGGCGGAAGGCGAGGATCGGGCGCGGTGAACGCCAGGCCTTGCGGGGCGGTCAGGACGCCTGGATGAGGGTAAGCAGGCGGAGGCGGACCATGTGCGCGGTAGTCGTGCGGGTGGAACGATTCCGAATGGACTCGTCGCGCGTTCGGGTTCGGCGGGACATATCGCCATCGTTCCGCCGCGCCGTGCAAGCCATGCGGATGCGGAGGCGGCGGAGCTGGCCGAACCATGCGCGTGTCATTCGCCGCGTCGAACGAACTCCATGGTCGCTTCCGAGCGGACGAGTCGAACAGCGCTTCGTTCGCTGCGGCGGACGAGGCGGGTGCGGATGGGCGTCGAGGTGCGGGAGCGGCCATCGTAGCTGAGACGCGACGTGCGGGGGCTTTGGCGATGAGAGGCGGTTCCCGTCGAGGTCCGACTGGCGGTTCTTCCGGTGCGGCGTCGTCGAGTCTGGATGTCCAGACAGGTCAGGTTCGCTCGAGTAAAAATGAAGTACAAATTCGACGCACCTCGAGCCAGGGCGCCGTACGCGCAGTTTGATGCCTTGCTGCGCAAAGGACTTGGACAGCTCTGTCGATTCTGCGGGCGAGACCTGGGTGAGCGGCGAATCGTGCAAGGGAGGCAGAGGGACGCACTGCTCATGCCGGGGAAGCGCTTGCTCGAGTAGACCTGGAAGACGTCGGTCAAGACGCTCGAGCAGAAGCGCACGCCGTCCCTGCGCAAAGCTGAAGGTCAGCGCGCCCTCGAAACCGGGACATCCGGTGAACGCACTCTGTCAGCTCGTACAGGCTCATCTTGAAGCGCCATCGTCCCTCGGTGCGGATGCTCAAGTCGGGAAAGACGAAGCAGCTCTCGTCGCGGAGGTGAAAGAGGCTCGAGACGACCGTCCCCGCGACAAGCGCGTTCTTGCACTCCGCCGCCTCGTCAGCCTCTTCCTCCCCGTCCTCGGATACGAGCGACGCAAACATGAACAGGGTGTGGGTGAGCGTCGGGGTGGTCAAGTCGTCGTCGGTCAAGAGGTGTGCGGGCTTCTTGCGCGCGGAGGGTCGGCGGATGCGCAGGCGGATGATGGGCGGTGGGTCGATAGGCCGCCTGTCGGCTTTCTCGCCTGAACCAGCCATGCGAGCCTGGCGAGGTTGCCTGTCGCAGCGGTCCGAAAGTCAGCCAGGCGATCCGCAGCGACTCGTCGAGCATGCTGTGTCCCATCCAGCTGCTTAGTCTGTCCGTCCAGCACTCGCGAAGACCCTCATTGCCCGCCTCAAACGCCCGATTCTCCCGACCAAGGCGCCTGCGCGAGTCGTGTGGCCGAAGAAGCGCTGCGGAACAGGTGAATGGGATGAGAGAGACGCACTGTCGGACGTCCAGGGCGTACATCCTGCAATCTCGAGAGTGTCAGCTTGTCGCATCTGCCTGGAGCCACTCTGCTGGCCCTGTCGGGTGCGAGGCGGAACTCGCGGCGGACAGGAGCTGGCGGAACAAGCGGCTCACGAGGCGCGAGGCGACGCTTGTGCGGCCGCGGGTGGTCGATCTGGCGGTGGTGGCATCGCGTGGTGAGCCTGTGCGGCCATCCCAGGCTCGCAGAAGTGGTGCTGGCGGTGTTGAGCAGTGTGGTGTGGAGAGTTGTCGCGAGGAGACAGAGTTTCGGCTGCGGGTGCGATGTGCTGACGTGTTCGTACTGCGTTCAATTCTCCGTTTCTTCTGCTCGCAGAGCCCCCGAGCCCGCGACGATCCTCGCTTCCAATTCGCTCCGACAGTTCTTCCTCGTCCTCTCGCTCGCACAGCTCCTCCTGCGCGCTGTTGTGACGACTCGACGACTCCCGAGACCCCTGGCACAGACGCGGGACCCCTTGCGAGTCAAAAGCTTGCCCGCTCACAGGCTAATTAAGCCTTATATTCGCCCCGTTCGCGGTCCCTGGCCTCTTTCGCAGGAGGCGATCCAACTGTTCTTCCGCTCCGCCGTCGTTGCCAGGTCGAGGTCGAGACGAACGACTCGCCAACAAGAGACGCTGTGAGAGAACGCTCGTCTCGCTCGTCGCCAGACTCCTCCGTCGCCGCGCCCTCGCACTTGTAGATCCCCTTGTGCTCCCGTCAGTCGCACGCCTCGCAATCTTCAGCAAAACAACGCCAGAGCTGAGAGCTGTTTCGTTGTTCAGCGAGAGGGAAGCAAGCGCTCGAAGGGGCGTCGGAGAGAGAACTCGACAATCCGCTTCGCCTGCCTCTCCCTGGCACAGTGTCCTTGCACGCTCCCTCTCCGCAAGTCTACCGCATCAACCTCGCCAACACCAAAACCCCCAACCCCGTCCACGCGGTGAAGATGTAGAACACGGTGCCACTCCCTTCTCCGTCCTCTCCTCCTCCGCCAGCAGTCCGGTGAGCGAGGTAGTCGCGAAGAGGGAGGAAGAGGAGACCGATTAGGAGGTTGGAGATCCAGTTTACAGCCTGCGGGAGTGGGGGTCAGTGAAGGGCGGGAGGGGCGAGGACAGGGGACGTACGACGGCGATGGAGGCGGTAGCAGACTTGGCCTGAGGAGAAATCGCCGAGGTTAGCCTGGAAGCTGAGAGCGGACTCGTGGCGGTAGCCAAGCACAGAGAGCGACAAAAAGCGCGACTCACCTCCCTCGGCGGCATCTCCCCGACCAACACAAACGGCACCGGCCCCAACCCCAACGCAAAGCTCACGACAAACGCCATGATCCCTCCCGAGGCGATGCGGAAGTAGTGGTTATCGATGCTCCAGCCGAGAAGGGCGGTCGAGGCGCACATCAGGGCGAGGGAGGTGAGGAGGAGGGTGCGGCGGCCGAGGCGCTGAGTGGGGAGCATCGTTAGCAGGCGGATGGACGGGCTGACGCAAACTGTAGAGGGAGAGATGCACGTCGATGAGGAAGATGGCGGGGAAGGTCATGATGAGGTTGACTGGCGGGAGCTGCGTCAGCTTGATCTCTTGGAGGCGGCGCAGAGCGTGCGCGACGCACCCAAGGTCACCAGTAGCGAGACAGTCTTCGCACTCGTTGGGTTGACGGCGGTCAGTATTCTGCGAGGCAAACAAGACGGGATCAGCGAACTGACGATGCGTTAGGCGGTAGAACGCCAAACGCACGATGTGCTGTAGTACATGACCTGCGAACAGTAAGCCAGGTCAGCGCTGGAAGCGGGTTGGCGCGACGAAGCGGGACGAACCGCATTGATTCCCCTGCGAACCCTCGAAGCGTCAGCGACTTGCACCTCGACGAGCAGCGTCGGACTCACGAGAACTGCTGGAACACCATCGTCGCCACCAACGTCCACATCGCCTTCTTCACCGCCGGATTGCGCGACTGGAGCACCTCGGCGACCGAGAGCGACTTTTCGCTGTCGACTTTTCTTCGGGGGTTGAGCGAGTCTGCTCGATCAGGCAGAGTGTATCAGTCAGTTTTTAGCGAGCATGATGGGGGAGATGGACGAACCGCTGTCATCCTCGCCCTCGTCCGCAGCGAGCGGTGCCCGCTCCTCATCCGTATCCGAGTCATGCACCTTCTCCTCCTTCCCTCGACTCTCCGGTACCAGCGGTCCAGTCAAAATCTGCGGATGATCACTCGTCAATTCGGAATCAAGCGAGTGGGAAGGAGAAGAAGTCGAGACGAACCTGCGCGACGGCGAGTCCGGCCGAAATGAGCGAGACGAGGCGCCATTGACCTGTTCCGGGCGTCGAGAGCGGGACTGTACACACGTGTACGTCAGTCACTCGAGACTGTAGGCGACACGCGGTCGAAGGTAGAATGGACGGACTGGAGAAGCCTTGCGCGGCAAAGATCCCGATGTTGATCGAGATCTGCGTGAGGATGCCTGCATAATTTCCCAGCGGTCATCAGAGGACTCCTTCGAGGGCGAGAGAGTTGTTGAACGCACCAATGCTGCCGGCAATGGCGGGAGGCGCGACGCTGCTTAGGTAGAGCGGGACTAGGACGGTCGCGATGCCGCAGGCTGAGTGCAGCACCATCGTCATCAGCTGTTACAGAGCCGTAAGCTCGACGACGACTCACAGACGCCGATCAGGATCCGCCCGACGACCAGAACCCAGACGTAGGACCCGAGCGAGACGGCCAGCGCGCCCTGCCGACGAGATTCCATCAGCTCCACCGCTTTCGCCCGCTTCCTGTGACTGTACTCACCAGTACGATGACCCCCGCGCTCCTGACCGCAGTCCCCTTCTTTCCCCATCGCTCAATCATCCCTCCAGCGTTCAAACTACCACCCAATCCTCCGACCGTATACGCGCTGGTGATGAGTCCGAACGCCGAGTCGGTCATATCGAGACATGTTGGAAGGGAAAAGAGGCCCTTGCGGGATGGAGGGATCGAGGAGGCTGAACAGATGAGTGAGGAGGAGGACGAGTTGAGCGAGGAGATGTGGTAGCCGTATTGCCTGCACCGGATGATCTGTCAGCTTGTCCTAGCAGCAGCGCAAATGTCCGAACGGTCTACGAACAGCTGTGCGAGGCGAACAGAGTCCATCGGGTCAGCGCGACGAGGTGGGGAGTCGCGGACGAAGGAGAGACGCACGGCGCTCGTGAGGATCCAGGAGACGGTCAGGGCAAAGCGTGTGACATGCTCGAACGGCATCGCGAGCGAGCGCAGCCGGTGCGCTGTCCAAAGAGTGAAGGAACGGAACGAGAGAGGTGGTGGTCGCGCAAGCGGAGTTGCCGTCAGGCCGTTTGAGCGTTTTCTCGTTCGTGAGGGGTCCGGAGCAGCTGTCGAATGGAGGGGACTCGGAGAGCTCAACCCGCAGCGATGAGAGCGGACCAGCCCGTCTGAATACTGGACAAACTGCATTGTCCTTCCTGCTCACTCTACTACGTCTCATGCAACCCCTTCTCCGGCACCTTCTCGCCATGCACTGGGATGGGCGCAGTCTGCGTGGCGGTTACGACGCCAGCTGCGGGTTTGATAGGGAGAGCGGCCGAGGTGGGTCGTTCGGCCCAGCCTTGGGCGCCTTGAAGGGCGAGGACGCCGGTGAGGGAGACCTGCGTGAATGTGAAACGTCAGATGTTGCTCAAGTCACACGCTCGACCGGCCGACTGATCCTAGGCGGCCGTATCAGGCGAAAGAGGGCAACTTGACGCACCGCAATAATCATATGGCTCGCCGCAACACTCTGCAACGCCTCGACGAGCCTGACCTGGCTGAGATTGTTGAAAGGCGAGGCGGAGAGGATGGAAGAGGGGATCCTGTTGCCCGGTTTGAGCTGGTCGAGGGGGAGGTAGCGGAGCGCGGCGAGGACGTTCGAGGTGTAGACGGCCATGGCGGACGAGAGGAGGACTGCCGGCACACGAAGACCATCAGTGAATGGTCTCGCAAAGACTCCGAAAGCGCTGGAACGCACCGAACGTCGCGCCCTCGAACAAGAGGCCCTGGACGGGGTTTATGACGAGCTTGACGACTGTCGCTCCGAGTGCCGCGAGCGCGAGTCCCGCCAATACTGCGCCATAGTACGGTGGTGCGTGGTACAGCATCGAGTAATACCCTGCGAGCGGTTCACAGAAAGGGTGTCAGGCGGAACTGGGCAAGTGGGGAGGAGGACGCCTCGACGACAGCGCCGGGAGGGAAGCCGGACGCACGGAGGGACGTCTCGACTGCGTGTGACGGCATCTCCGTGCCCTGCCAGATCAGGCTGTGGTCCGCGAGCCAGTGCACGAAGAAGCTGCCAAGCAGGAAGGCTGACGCGACAACGACGACCTTGGACGCATACCAGTTGACCGTGGGCATCCCGATGGAGCTGTGTGAGCTAGTCTGAGCCCAGTCAGGCGCCGTTCGAGCTGGGCGAGGTGGTGGTCGTCGCCCAGGAGGTCGCTCATCTCTCTCGCCAGGACTCGTCGCTGTCCAGCTCCGACACACCGCTGTGAAGGGCTCGCTGTGCTCATACAGGCTCGCAGACAACCGCCATAGACTGCTGCCTCACTCTCACCGCCTGGCGCTCACTTGAACCCCTCGTTCTCTCCCCCTCGTCACCGCCGACCCCCACTACCCTCGCAAGCCGCTCGCTCGTCGCTGTAAGGTGCTAGACTAGGCAGCAAACCAGTGAGTACACTCTCTGATCTTGCGCAGCTTACGGCACCCGCTAACGATGTCTCTTCGCCGCGCAGCACTCCTCGGTGCACCCTCGACACCCCCGCACCGTCCCCCTCCTCGCTCACGAACACCATGTCACGCCTCGCACCCGTCGTTCTCGACAATGGTACGGGATACACGAAGATGGGGTGCGTGTGCAGATCCAGCATGTCGAGGCTGGGTCCTCGTCTCAAATCGACGGACCAACCTGGCTGACTTCCGCGTCCTCTCATCGCCGCACAGTTTCGCCGGCAACTCGGACCCGTCTTTCGTCATCCCCACCGCCATCGCCACGCGCGGCTCGTCCTCCTCGACCGGGCGCGGACCCTCAGTCGCCTCCAAGCCCGCCAGTCTCGGCTCGTCCTCCGGCCACCTCTCGTCGAAGCGGGGGATCGAAGACCTCGATTTCTACATCGGCGACGAGGCGCTCGCAAACTCCAAGACGTACAACGTCAATTACCCGATCAAGCATGGGCAGATTGAGGACTGGGATCAGATGGAGAGGTATTGGGAGCAGTGTATCTTCAAGTACCTCCGTGCCGAGCCAGAGGACCACTACTTCCTCCTCGTAAGTCTCCCCGAAGCTCCTTACGCGGCCTCTCCCCGCTGATTCGCTGACCCACCTCGTCGCCGCAGACCGAGCCTCCTCTGAACCCTCCCGAGAACCGCGAAGCCACGGCCGAAATCATGTTCGAGTCGTTCAACGTCCAAGGACTGTACATTGCCGTCCAAGCCGTCTTGGCGCTCGCTGCGTCGTGGACTTCGAAGAGCGTCCAGCACCGGACTCTGACGGGAACGGTCATCGACTCGGGAGACGGCGTCACGCACGTTATCCCCGTCGTACGTTTCGTCCCCACTCGCTCGGGCAGAATGGAAGCTGATGTCGAGCTTGCGCGCAGGCTGAGGGCTACGTGATTGGTTCCGCGATCCGCCACATCCCCATCGCCGGTCGAGACATCTCCTCCTTCGTCCAGCAGCTCCTCCGCGACCGAAACGAGACGGGTATCCCGCCCGAGGACTCGCTCCGCGTCGCAGAGAAGATCAAGGAGGATTACTCGTACGTCTGCGGAGACATGGTCAAGGAGTTTGGCAAGTACGATCGCGAGCCGGAGAAGTTCTTTGCCAAGTATGAGGGAGAGCATTCGGTTACTGGCAGAGTGAGTGCGCCCTCGCTCTCTCGCTCTCGTCGGGGCCGTTGCTCCCCCGCGAAGGACGGTCTCGTAAGTGTAGTTTGCGGCTCAACTCACTCGCTCGTCTGCGCGCACGCAGAAATACTCGGTCGACGTGGGCTACGAGCGCTTCCTCGCGCCCGAAATCTTCTTCAACCCGGAAATCTACTCGTCCGACTTCCTCACCCCCCTCCCGGACGTCGTCGACCAAGTGATCCAGACCTCGCCCATCGACGTCCGTCGCGGGTTGTACTCGAACATTGTTTTGAGTGGCGGTTCGACCATGTTTGATCACTTTGGGAGGAGGCTGCAGAGGGATTTGAAGGGGATTGTGGATCAGCGGATCGCGACGAGCGAGTTGGCTAGCGGTAGCTTGATGAGGGTGCGTGCAGCGCTCTTCTGCTCTCCGGTGCTTTCGTTCAACTGACACTCTCCCTCGCTACGCTTGCGCGCAGTCGTCGGGCGTCGACGTCAACGTCATCTCGCACAAGAAGCAGCGGTACGCGGTCTGGTTCGGCGGGTCCTTGCTCGCCTCGACGCCCGAGTTCTACGGCTACTGCCACGACCGCACCGCCTACCAGGAGTATGGTGCGCCTGCGAACGCTCCCTCTCACTTGCTGTCAGTCGCGCTGACTTGGAGATTGTGCGTTGGGCAGGCCCGTCGCTCGTCCGGCGGTTTGCGATCTTTGGCTCTGCGACCGACTGAAGGAGGAGAGTAGTGTTACCGTGCGAATACCATTGCGTGTACCTCGGCGCGAGAGATGCGCGGCAAGGTGTTGCCGATGCGGTCGGTCGGCTCCGTCGGGAGAGTCGCTCGCCGGCTTGCGCTTGCCTCGTCTGCGGCTGCTCTCGCTGGACTCGCTCACTCGCGGGATGGACAAACCAGTCACACTGCCACCGTTCGGGCCAGCCTCGCCGCCCCAGCAACCCGCCGACAGCGCGCCGCCCAACTCTGCCGCCGTCCCGCTCCCGGCAGCTGCAGCAGCCTCTCCGCGCACTCGGACGACGGTGGCCTGCGTCAGGTGCAGGAGGGGGAAGACCAAGTGCCTCACGTTCGAGGGCAAGAGCGCGTGCGAGGCGTGCGCGACCAGGGGCGTCGAGTGCGAGCGAGCCGACTCGAGGGCAAAGGCATCAGGCGCATCCGAGGTGGGTTCTGCGCCCTCGCTCGGCGGGATGGACAGGGCGATAAACTCATGCTACGACTTGCTCTCGCGCAGACCCGCCGTGTCCGACCGCCAAAGAGGCGCGCAGCGGACGACCTCGAGCCAGCGACCGTCTCCGCTGCGGACGCTCCCGCTCGACCTCCCATGCCCGCTCGCACAATCCAGCCAGCTCGCCCGTCTGCGCCAGGAGACGCTGCTTCGACCGCGGAGAGTGGACCGGCGGCAGCGGGTTGGGCGGG